TCTACATCATGATATACCATCTCCAAAGTATCTATAATATTTATACAAAGAAAAAAACTCCATAATCGTAACAATAACATTCTATCATTACATTTCAGAATTTAAAGACAGGAAATGTCATTCTTCCAAGACAACATGCGACATAAGTACTGAATATATATCCACTCACAATATGTGGCTCTTTCAAAGTTCCTTAATAAACATGACTATCATCATGTACACATCAATGAAATCTCTTTTCTGCCTTCTGTTGCCGTACTGCAGGCATACAGTGATTTCTGAAGGCAAGATCAGGTTGGTGAGGGAGGGAGCAGACTCAGGCTTGCCTCTGTATGACACAATAGTTCTCAAAGTTCAGGAAACCTTTCCAGGAGGCTATCCCAAAACAAATCATACATATTTCTAGGTAGAAGAAAAAATTTTGAAGAATTTTTATTTCTATTGGAAAGACAGATTTAAAAAGAGAAGAGACAAAGATATTCCATCCACTGGTTCACGCCCCAAGTGGCCCCAATGGCCAGAGCTGGGCCAATCCAAAGTCAGGAGCTTCTTCTGGGTCTCCCATATGGTAGTAGGGTCTCAAGGCTTTGGACAATCCTTTTACTTTCTTAGGCAACAAGCTAGGAAATGGATGAGAAGTGGAGCAGCTGGTACACAAACTGGCATGCACATGGGATCCCGGCACTTGGACGTGGAGGATTAACCAGTTCAGGTATTGCACCAGGCCCTAGTCTGAAAAATTCTTAACAATGTTTGAAAAATTCTTCACCCAGATCCAATTACAATAAAAAAAAAAACCGAGTAAGGTACTAAAGACCTCTACCACATGCTTCTGATACTCCTCACATTAGATAATCAAGAATATGTCATAGGGTCTGATAAGTTAGCCTGGTGGCTAAAGTCCTGGCCTTACATGCTAGGGATCCGATATGGCACTGGTTCACATCCCAGCTGCTTCACTTCCCATTCAGCTCCCTGCTTGTGGCCTGAGAAAGCAGCAGACAACGGACAGTCCAGCCTTGGGATCCTGCACCCGTGTGTGAGACCTAGAAGAAGCTCCTGAGTTTGGATCGGCTCAGCTCTGGACATTGCAGCCACTTGGGGAATGAAACAGCAGATGGAAGATCTGTCTGTCTTTCCTTCTCTCTATAAATGTGCCTTTCCAATTTATTTATTTCCAATAAAATAAACAAATTTTTATAAAAAAATACATCATAATTTATCTGGAATATTGGCAAAATTCAAATATGCTTCTACCAGATGGCGTAAAAATATACATCAAATGTGAGAATTTATTTATTTATTTACTTTTAAAGATTTATATAAAGTAAGATATACAGAGAGAAGGAGAGACAGAGGAAGGTTTTCCGTCCAATGATTCATTCCCCAAGTGAGCGCAATGGCAGATTCTATGTGGATCCAAAGCCGGGAGCCAGGAACTTCTTCCGGGTCTCCCACATGGGTGCAGGGTTCCAAGGCTTTGGGCCATCCTCCACTGCTTTCCCAGGCCACAAGCAGGGAGCTGGATGGGAAGTGGAGCTGCCAGGATTAGAACCAGCGCTCATATGGGATCCCAGGCGCATTCAAGGCGAGGACTTTAGCCACCAGGCCATGCCGCCAGGCCCAAGAATATTTTTAGAAGGAATCTACATACTTTCCAGAAGAAAAGGGCAGAAATGTGCAATTTGGTGAAACTAACTGAGAGACTACACACCATGACCACTCATGCTATGCTGCGGAGAACTCTATTCATATCAGTGCTCAGAAGCAGAACAGGACAGTGAACGGCTTACCAACATCTCTCAGCTAAGCTCTCCAATACTCCCATTAGTTTCCTGGACTTTATTTAGAAATATTCAATTCTTATAGAACCAATACGTTTATTCTAACTTACGATTCGAAAATTGGTGGACAATATTATAAGCACAAGCGTTCTATATTACACTGTTAAAAGCATAGGAGAGGCTTCACAAATTGCTATTAAAATAAGCTGAGGGTAGGTAAGAGAGAGAGCTAACAAGGTATATCTCAGAACTCCGGCCAAGATTAAATTTTCCACACCACAAAAGTTATACTAATTAAATCCCATATTGTTACGGGACCTACGTAAGTGCTATAATGACAAAAATCATTGTTTAAATAAGAGTCTTAATTCTTCCTGTTCTGTGATGATTATCTTATCAAGGTCCAAGTATCTGGTATGAACATGTTGAAAAGATGTGTAATCCACCAGGAAGCTAAAGATAAATTCTTAGATATGTGAAGCAAATACTTCCTTTCACTGTAAACAAAACGACACAGACCACTTCTTGAAGAAATCAAGCTCTATTTATATTCTCCCTCCTGAAATGGCCCAGGCAGCCTTAGAAGGATAAGTTTATAATAAATCCCTGTATTTGGAAAACACTGTTGCTAAGCATCTTCTAACATTCAACAGAGTTTATATAAATCATGTCACTGCTACATAATTAACATTTCATGTTTTCCAAGAGTTCAGAATGCTTATCTATGTTGTTCATTTAAAACATTATAAATTTTGAGGGAATTAATAAAAGGCCATGCAACTAATTAATTAGAAAGTCAGTCTAATCCTAGGAGGAATACAAGCATAGACATTAAATATCAGGATATGTCAGAACGTCTCCTGTAAACAGCGTGTCCACTTGAGATAAAACATTTCAAAATGCAGCTGCTTTTTGCTTAAAAAGGTGAGCAACAAAGCATTACATGGTTGAACAAGTCAAGGCATATCAAACCACACTCCAGCTCAAAAATCAATTATGAAGAAAACCTAGGAAGTGAGAGTAAGTTCCACATTCAAACATCAGTACTGAGCATTATCTTTAACCAGTTAATACAAGACAACAACGTTGAAACCAACACAAACGGCCATGACATTTCCAACTTTCTAATCCATTACAGGAACAAAGTTAAAAGATACCGGAAATATTTTGTGACACTCCAAAGGTTAGAAAAGTCAAGAGCAAGCACAGTGCAAAACTATAATATCACTCTCACAAACTATGATATAGATCGCAAACTCTTGGATTTTTAAATTTTGTATGAGTATCCCCCACACACTAACATTTAGAATGCAAGAACCCTAGAGGAAGCACTGAGGAAGCACCTGTGTGTAGGTCACTCACACAGGCACTCCGAGGATTGTGGAAGAAAGGCCTCCTGGACGAAGGTCACCAGTGACACCAGCGACAGCAGATACTTGCTTATTCTTTCTAACTCTTCCTGCCCTTTTATTCTCATTTCCTCCTTGCTCTCCCTCACATTCTGAATATGCCATAGTTGTGAGGCCAGTAAAAGACTACTTACCCCAATTTCCTCAAATTATAAATGAAGAAAACTAAGGCTCAGAGGAAGCAAAGACCAAAAACCTAATTGGAAAGTTTGCCCATCTTCAGATACCTATTCCCTATATTATCACGCCTTTTCCAAAACATTCCTTGCAAAGCCTAGCACTGTAGCACAGTATTTTTAGCCACAGCCTGTGACAACAGCATCCCACATTAGCGCCAGTTCAAGTCATTCCTTGTTAAGGCACCTGAGAAAGCAGTAGGAGATGGCCCAAGGCATGGGGCCCTTGCCACCTACAAGAGAGAGAGTCCCAGGCTCCTGGCATCAGCCTGGCTCAGTCCTAGCTGTTGCGGCCATTTGGAGATTGAACCAGTGAATTGAACATGTCTTTATTGCTCACTAGCTATCTTTCCCTCTATAACCCTGGCTTCGAATAAACACAACTTGAAAAACTTAAAAAACAAAAAAGCCTCTAAAATAATCAAATCTTTCTTCAAAGAGCCTTATAAATACAAACTGGAACACCATAACTAAAAAAAAAAAAAAAAAATCCTCCAAACTATAAAGCAATTTAGAAACATATGTCTATGCAAAAAAGGGAGAGGGGAAATAAATTAAGAAAATCTCAGATTACCACAAATTCTGAGGCATAGTCAACCTTTAAAAATTATTAGAAAATAAACATATCTCCTTTGGCATAAATACACACACACAGACACACACACACCAGACGCTGTTTCCAGTACATTACTGTGGTGAATCAAGCACTTCAACTGCCCTGATATGAACACATTTTCTATGCTTAAAGCTACTTGGAAGAACTGAACCAACACTAACAGGCCTCAAGGACTTCCAAAGTAACTACAACTATATTTGGAAGCACAAGGAGGCAAATGAATAGTAATAGCCCTAAAAAGCTTTCACAGTAAAAATATCATTGTCACATAACCTGTGCAATTCTTGAGTTTTGCTGAGTGTTCTGCAGTACTCCAACAAAGGCTAGGATGTTCCTTAAAGAAAACTGTGATCGGGCACGGCGCGGTGGCGCAAGTGGTTAAGGCCCTCGCCTTGCACGCCCGGGATCCCATATGGGTGCTGGTTCTAATCCCAGCAGCCCCGCTTCCCATCCAGCTCCCTGCCCGTGGCCTGGGAAAGCAGTCGAGGACGGCCCAAAGCTTTGGGACACTGCACCCGCGCAGGAGTCCCGGAAGAGGCTCCTGGCTTCGGATCGGCATAGTATCGGTCGTTGTGCTCACTTGGGGAGTGAATCATTGGACGGAAGATCTTCCTCTCTGTCTCTCCTTCTCTCTGTATATCCGCCTTTCCAATGAAAATAAATCTTTAAAAAAAAAAAAAAGAAAACTGTGATCCTCCTCCAGCCACTTTTCCCTAATTTCCACAGTGTAAAAGGAAAATACTGCTAGCACAGATAATGCCATCAATGCAACAGGTTACCTGTATGCACGTGCATGTGTGTAAAATTAGGAAGTCTGGAAGGAGACAGGGTTACTATTATCGGGTAGGATTAAGGGTTTTAAAAATTTCTTAATTTTCTGAATCATCCGTTGTTTTAAATAAACATATACTTTGACTATGTAAACAATTTCTATTAAGAAGAGAGATATAAACTATCAGCATGTCAAGAAACTGAAGTACATAAACACAGATGTACCAAGACAAATCATGCTCACCTGCTTCATTACACAAAGCTTTCAAGTCCGCTCCAACATATCCATGGGTACTGTTTGCCACCTGTAACAACTCAGCTTTACTGAGCAAATGAGGTATTCGTCGAAGCAGTTTCTGGAGTATGTCCAGCCGGTCCTGAGCTTTAGGAACACCAATTTCAAACTCTTTGTCAAAACGTCCGGGTCTTCGGAGTGCAGCATCCAAAGCATGAGGACGATTTGTAGCTCCAAGCACCAAGACCCGTCCTTCAGTTCCTTCCTAATAAAATAACATGAACAGAAATTGCCTATTTTTCTCAAAGTCCAAAAAATGCAGAAATGGAAAGGCAGATAAATGCTACACACATATGAAATGGATTTCAGTGGTTGAGGCAATGGGTTCCTATCGCTAGTACTTTTATCGTTTAGGAACTACAATGTTTCTTCCCATGCCAAGTCTTCCAATACTTACCACCTAGTGTAAGTGATGTCTATCTTTTCTCACCTTGATATCATTGTTACAAACAGGTAACACTCTACCTCAAAGTTTGCCCTTTTAATTGTTTCAGGTTGTCTATACCTCTACTCAGAAACAAAGATAATGAATTACACATTATTCAACTAAAACAAAACTCCATCAGGAAGCTGTAGAAAAGCCTTCCTCACAAATGGACTTTTTTTCTTTTTGATAAGCTTTAAACTCCTAAAATCACAAACCAAGATGCAAGTGTCAGTCACCCTTGAATACATACAGATTTCTACTCTGAAAATGACATCAGGAATTTACATAGAACCACAACCGTGGTCAGCCAGTTGTAGAAACTATGCAATAATCCATCAGATGACCCAGGCGGAATCTCAGAGACAAACACAGCTAGAATGTGGTTCACCTAAGGAAATTCAAACCTGATCAATTACTCTAGCTGTGCCAATTAAAAGTGTATAGTGAAATACGAACTCAGAACAAAGATAAGCATTTAAACACAAGCAGCTCAAACACAACAAAACACTCAATTCTCCAACTTTATAAACTGAAAACAAAACCTGGGACACAGCAATCACACCTAGGTGATCTCCCAGGACAGAAAACCAGGAGGTCACCCAATACATACCAGATGACAATTCTTTAACACTGCCTCAGAATTAGTAACATGTGAGTATATAACAGAGTTAACATCACTTTTAAGATTTATTTCTTTTTTATTATAAAGTCAGATATACAGAGAGGAGGAGAGACAGAGAGGAAGATCTTCCATCCAATGATTCACTACCCAAGTGAGTGCAACAGCCGTTGCTATGCTGATCCAAAGCCAGGAGCCAGGAACTTCCTCCAGGTCTCCCACATGGGTGCAGTATCCCAAAGCATTGGGCCATCCTTGATTGCTTTCCCAGGCCACAAGCAGGGAGCTGGATGGGAAGTGGAGCTGCTGGGATGTGTACTGGCTCCCATAAGTGATTCCGGCACGTGAAAGTAAGGACTTTAACCACTACACCATCGCGCCAGGCCCAACATCAAACTTTCATATTCCTCCCATATTCACATTCTATCCAAACAGTTCTAATTATTCAATTTTTTAATGTAGGAAAAGAGGACTTAGGAACAAATGATTTATAAAATATCTTTGGGTCCCACCACACTCTGATTCTACAAACTTCAATAATATACCGTGTGGTGTAAGAAGTACATTTTTCTGTCTAAAGGATATCAGAACTTTTCTTCATTCCTGTTATGTAGTATTATGGCCCTCCTTTCATTATCAACATATAACTTTTATTATAAAAAATGTATATGTTATCATGCAATCTGGGAACAGTGACTAAATTCTTCACAAATGTTATATAGAATCAAGCACTGTGTACAGTAGTTAAGCCATTTGGGATACCCACACCCTTATCAGAGTTCTAATTCAAGTCCCAGTTACTCTACTTCCAATCCAGCTTTCTACTAGTGAATACTGTTACTGGAAGGCAGCAGATCACTGCTAAACTATTCTGACCCATGCCACTCTTGTGGAAAACCTGAATGGAATTCTAGGCTCCTGGCTAAAGCCTGGCTAGCATGGGCTGAAACAATCAATTTTTACATTATATCAAGATTCACAAAATTCCATCATAAACTTCCTAAAATTCTATCACTGAATCTTCTACACTGCTTTTGCTTTAGGTTTTTAAATACCATTTATAAAATAAATCCATCATGACATGTTATTTTATGTGCTAGAAAAACAAGCCAGGTTATAATGCCCTAATTTCACTAAAGCAATTAATTGAAGCAAAAAAAAATTTTTAGTCTTTCCTCTAGTTGCTATGGTTAATATTTTCCTTTTATCCTAGAATTTCCCAGACAAAATCAATTAATTTTTACTACTACAGATATATTCATTTATGTGAATAAGAACCAATCCCTTCCTACACAGAAGAAAGAGCAGTGCTATACTTACTGAACCAATACCATCCATCAGGGTTAAGAGGGAAGCTACAACTCTCTTCTCCACTTCATTCTGAGCGCCCTCTCTTTTAGGACAAAGTGCATCCAACTCATCAATAAAAATAAGTGATGGGTGCCTTAAAAAGAAAAGGATAAAATGTAATTTGATTCATATTTCCTTTTAAATTTTACTTAGTTTTATACTTGAAATGCAACAATCACATTTAGAGTTTACTTTGTAATATTACAAAGGCATTAAAATATTAAGATGAAAAACTTTAGAGAATAGGTCTAGCCCAATTAACTCACCAACCTTATATTCTAATCTATCTGCTTGAGATGGAGAGCAGTCTATTGCTACTGAGATGAGCAGAACTCTCCCATAATGCATACTATAATGACCAGATCAATTCAGAAATTGAGGTCAGAAATGTCCCTTGAAGCAGGATTAAAGTCAGAAACATATAAAACAGAAATGCACTCTTCTTTTTAACCTGTTAAAAAGGGAGCTTTCAAGTTGACCAATTCTCTCACAAAAACATGTGAATTTTCTCATAAGAGGAAACCTCAACCGCCATTAACAAAAACATAATACAGTATATGGTATAATGCATACTAAGTATCAAACGTTTGGTACTAGAACTAAAACTTTATTTCATCTACTCTTACTTTTAAAATACCACTTATTTTGGTAAGAGTAGTAATAAGAAGTTAAATATCATAACATTGGTAAAGACACAGCCACTATTATGATTAATGCTACATACGCCAACTTACATAAAATATTCATTATGGTATAAAAAATCTAGCCTAAAGCCAGGAATAATCAATACTAGTTTTAAAAGAGCAAAATATTGGCTCCATCAAAAGTAAAACAGAATAGTACAACAAAGCCTGAAGTATAAAGAACTAGGATCATACAGTCTAAGGGAGCGAACTGTAGGATATGTCCAAATACTCTCAAGGAGTAGTCACAGATTTACATGTTCAACCAAGGTCACATGACTTCCCAAGCAATAGCCTGTATTAAATGTCCTTTAGTAGTTCCCTGGTCAGTTCTAAAAACAATGTTACACAGTAGTAGGTTAAGACAGAATTTCAGTAAATCCACAATCTATTTCTAGTACCACCACTTTTTAACTTTCGCATCTTAACTGTTCTTTATGTTTTGCATACAATGCAAGTTCTCACTTTAATGCTTTTATAATGATTCCAAAATACATAAAAATAAATACCTCTGAGTAGCTTCAGCAAACACATGACGTAATTTTGCTTCAGTCTCACCATAGAATCTGTAATAAATAAAATCACGGAGTGTTTCTTAATGTCTTAACATTTTTCTATAGTAACCAAAATGACTTTCGAAGTATTTCTAGAAATTTTAAACTACATTCCAAAATTGTTTCAAACTTGATTTTAACATGTTAAAAATCAAACTTAACATATTTCATTGTTTACTCATTCTTAAAAACCATTTTTAAGAAGTATACTTAATATTAACTTTAGTAAAACATGCACCTACTTGCTTATAATCTCAGGACCATTGATTACAGAAACAAATGCTCCTATTTCATTTCCAAGAGCCTTGGCAATCATTGTTTTTCCAGTACCAGGAGGGCCATAGAGTAACACTCCTCTAGGGGCAGGAATTCCTAGATACCAAAAAAAAAGAGACAATGTTAGATTCTGCATTATTTGATTTCTTATAAACAATGTAATGCAATTTCAAGCCAGAGTTATAAAACAAAATTTACTTTGCAACATAAAACAGAAACAAGAGTGAGATCTTCCTGTTTCTCCACCTCACTAAGGAGCCCTAACAATGACACCTTGTAGTGATTTATTCTTTCTGTAGAAGATAAATCAGGGTGGGAATCACAGGGGGAAAAAAATCCCTGATTGCCCATAATGATACCATGCCTCTTCCCACAAAGCACACTACCCTGATAAGAAAAAGTCCAAAACGGACAGACAATACAAGCCATTTCCTATCCCTATTTTCCTTCAACTAACCATCTTAGAGAGTACAGACACTACTAGTGAAGTATCAATCCAACGGTTCACGTCACAGTCATGATGAAGGGAAAAGCAGAGGACCAGGAAGCACAGACCAACCATAGGCCAGGGATCTGGGCAATGCCCACTCAAGGAGAAGTCATGACTTTCTTAAGAGTTAATCCTTTACCCACTTGCTTCAATGCAAAAGAGATCTAAGTACAGCTACATTTGTCAACACAAAAGTTTCATCTAATCTATGTGAATACTTGGTTAATTTCTTCAGCCATTACAGATGGTTTAGATGGCAAAACACTATTCTAGATGCAAAACAACTGTTAAAACACATTATTAGAAGAGACAAAGCTCCCACTAACATTATAACCTAAAACTACAGTACAGAGGATGGATTTTAATGGGATCTTCCAAGCCTAATGCTTTGGAAATAGAAAAACAGTGAACAAGTGCAACTGTTTTTGGTTGGAACACTGGGGTTCAATAAAGCAAACATACCATAAGTCTTGAAAAGTTCAGGCTGCTTCAGGGGTAATTCAATCATTTCTCTGATTGCTTTCAGCTCACTACTTAAGCCACCTATCATGTCATAAGTTACTTTCAATGAGTTGTCTTGTTCTTCTGCATTTGTACGAATCTTTGTAAAATTGATTTTTGTTGTTGAAGAAATAAAATAAAAAGTATCAGTATTGCACTTGGCTCCCACGCAGATGGACTGCAGCAGTTTCTCCTCACTGTTCTGTTGCTCACTGCTTTCGCTGGCAGGCTCAAAGTTCCATGTAAGGCTTGTCACTTCCTTGAGGCCAAGTTCACTGCCATTTCCAGGGCTCTGTGTAACATTCAATGAAGTGTCACTGGCTTTTTTTACACTTCCATCATCTCCTGGTTTACAAGGAGTACTTTTTGATGCCGGGCTTTGGGCTACTTCAAGATTTAACTGGTTTAGCTGGAAGGACAGATCTAGGCTACTGGTTTCCATGCTGGACTGTTCCAAGGCCACTCCTTGGGCACCAGTTTCAGTGTCACTCTGAGGTTTTCCCAGTACCATGCCATCTGCCCCTTTCACCCGCAAAACTTGCAGCTTGCACAGTCGTCCATAAAAGGTACAATACAAAAAGTTGCCTGGTAAAATAATCTTGCCATCTAGGAAACAATTTAGTAATTTAGTAAATATACATCAGCACCATTTTTTTTTTTACCATTTTAATGCTGGCACAGGAATTCTTTTGCTGAAAACAAAACCACTAAATTGCAAAAGCTCAAAAGTACATTACTAGAAAATACTTGTCTTGAAAAATGGAAACTTATTTTCCCTGATGATATACACACTATCTGGAGAAATGAACACTGGATAACTCTGAAATCCCCTACACCCAAAAAAGCCAAGATTTTAGTAAACATATCAACAAACAGCCAGGTATCCCAAATTCAATAATAAAACTAAAATAGCACACCTAAACCAATACTCCAAGATAATGCTTCTCACTGAAAAAAGAAAACGCACAGGGCTAAAATTCTCATTTCACTAAGGGATATGTCCACAGACACACCACATACACCTATTCTTTCCATGCTCAACTGCCAATCAATTAAGAGGACAAAAAACACCTTTCTGCCTTAGGACAGTAATTCAGTGAAGGGAATACACTCTAAGCTATTTAGAAGAACATAAAAACTAAATGACACTCCACTGATACCTCACTGCTGCAAGATTAATTTAAAAATATCCCTTACCTAGTTTTCTCAGAATACAACCAGTCAGTTCTTGCTCATTAATTTCTGTATCTTTGTCACTGCAGAATGGGAGACAGGGGAAGGGAGGAAGGAATCAGGGTGGAGAATAAAAATCAGCATTAGGTCCACCAGAAACTAAACTGTAGCACAAATGAAATATACACAGCTAATGTATAACCAACCTAGAAATCAACATCTTAGAAATGTTTGGAATAACTCACACTCATCAGATACCTCATACCCAGCGAAAACAACATTTGCAGTTTGGTGCCCTAAGGACCATTTTGGTGTTCTTCAAAGTACAGCACACTATTCTTTAGTAGATCAAGGAAACTTTACAGTTATTCTAATCTAGCATTTTCTCTTTTCATTATTAGAATAACAAGTATCTGGGTACATTGAACAGAAAAAGGTAATTACTGCAAAAGGCTATAATTCATTTCTTACAGACATGTGCATATATACAAGTATGTGTACATATCTTTATGGACATGTAAATACACATTTATATGCATGCAAACTCTACCTAGGGTTATATACATAGAACAAATCTTGGGTTAATTGCATAGCACAAAAATGCAGGCCTAAGTTAATCATTCTATTTCCACATTTGTCTAACTTGGAGGAAAAATTTTATTCATAGATTACTTCATTCTTTTTATAAAATTCATAAATTATCTTTTCAAGAAAATTAATTCTTGGAGCCTGTGGTGTGGCGTGTAGCAGGCAGAGCCCGTCTGGGAGCCAGGACATACAGCAGGTGCTCGGCTTCCAATCCAGCTCCTTGTTAATGGCCTGAGAAAATCAGCAGCCAGCCAGGTGTTTGGGCTGCCACCCACATGGGAGCCCCAGGCTGATCCAGCCCTGATCACTGTGACCACCTGAGCAAGTCAGAAGATGGAAATTAATTTCTATAATTCTTTCAAACAAATAAACAATCCTTAAAAACAACAACAAGATTCTAAATTGCAATCACCTGAAGAGGCACGACAAAAGAAAAACCTAGCTGACAGTTTACAGTTCATTATGGAGAAAGGGAAGATACGCTTAAGAAAACAGAGAGGGAGTTCTACCTTGGCGGCTCAGGTGACAGCAGCCCTCTGCAGTGGTGGTGACCAGCTTGTGGAGAGTACCCGAGCCACGTCATGGACTTGGTCCATGAGCACAATTGCCACACAGTGAGAGAGTCTGGGTTGTTGGGAGGCCAGAGAGAGAGAGATTTTTCCCCCCCATGGTGAGTACACCATGAGGAAATCCTGGGACAGAATTAAGGCCTCTAGCCCTGCCCTGCAACTACCACCTTGTGGCACAGGAAACTAGGAGGTGGGAGTTCGACCTTGGTGGCCTCGGTGACAGCAGCCCTCTGCAGTGGTGGCGACCTGCTTGCGGAGAGTACCTAAGCCAGGTTGGACCCAATGCCCGGGACTTGGCCCATGGGCACCATCACCACACAGTGACCAGGTCCTATGTTGGAACGGCCAGTGCACCCATTTGGCGCCAGGCTCTGCCTGGTGGCTGCTGACAGACGGCAAACTCATGGGTTTTTAGGGTATGAAATTGCTGCCTAGGGACATCCATGGATAAGCCCAGTGTGAGTGCAGGTGAGGGATGAATTCTGTGTGATTCCTAGCGATGAGATCTCAGTACTTGCTTGCAAAAATGGGGACTGAGATCTGAGTGTTTGGACGGGAGAGTCCATAAGTTTTATTTGGGCCAGACTGATTCACAATCCACATGGGAATCCTGAGATGGGCTGTTAGTGTAGAACATCACTGACTGCCACACACCAGTCTTCAAGAAAGCTATGGCTGGGGGCCTGTCTGGCAGGGCTAGGTACCAGTACCTGAGTGGCAGATCAGGGGATGGGTCACAATTGGCAGGGTCAGGAAACTAACCAACATGCGAGAATCACATTTAGGGGTAGATTCTCTGGGGGAAGTGAGGGCCCAACCCTGTGGAAATACAAGTCCCGCAGGTTAGCTTAAGAGTTGAGGTGATGATGGGCTGAGCTAGGTGTGACCATGGAACCTGCCATTACTTATGGGCAAAGGAACCGACAACAGTCCGGGCAGGTCAAGGCAGCAGCACTCAAACGTGCATCTTAAAACAGGATGTGTGGTGGGCCAAGCTGCAACTGGAAGGGGGCGGACCAGCCAGGGCCAAGCAAACCTTAACTCACTAGGAAGAACAGAAATCAGGATGTAGCACAGGTCATGCCAAACTAGGCTCTTATGCCGACTGGTCTGGATGAGCCAGGGATACTAGACTTCGGTACTGAAGGCAAAGGCTAAGACAGGAGAGGGGCTATGCCAAGCTGGGTCAGAGCAACCACTGGCATGCGCGTGATTTATGATTGGGAACAGGCCTGGTTGGTGAGTTAAGAAGACACTCTAACTGGGTTGGGGTTCCCACTGGTGAGTGAGGGGGCCAGAGTGTGGGCTGCGTTCTGGTCTGGATATGGCTGCAGTCTCCTTTGACACAAGTGTGAACTGGGACTGGATGCACCAGGCCCGGCTAGACTCCAGCATCATCTGGTGCACTGGAGGACCAGGGTAGATGTAAGATGGACTAGGCCAGGTCTCTACCCCTACTGAGCCATGTGTGAACCCTGTCTGGGTATGGATGAGCCTTGGCTGGGCTGAAACATCCAACAATAAGAACCAGAATGGGTTGAAGGCCAGTCAGGAAAAGCCACTGTTCCTGCTAGGACAGGAGGTAAACTAAGTAGGGCTGGATCATGGACCCACCAGTATGTGTGAGATCTGGCACTGAGAGAGGTTCTGAAAGAGGAGCCTGGGCAATTACTCAGTCAGGACACAGTCCCTGCAGGTGAGTACAAGAACCATGACAGGGAGCATCCCAGACCAAGCCAGGGAAAGGTACCCACTGGCAAAAATTTGCATAGGTCACAGACAGACCAGGCTGAACCAGTTCAAATCACCTGCTGGCAATTCCAGGCACCAGAACAGAGTATGGGCTAGGCCAGGTATGGTTGCAACACATACCAGTGCACATTATGCCTGGGACTGGATGCCTGCTGGGCTGGCTAGGCTATAACCCTCACCAGCATCAGCTGGAATTCGGGGTGGGCCGGGTTGGGCCAGGCTATAACACCCACTGGCAAATGCCAAGGTGAGGTGGTCATACCAGACTGAGCTGCAGTGTTCAATCAGCACACGTGAGAACCAGGGAGGGAGGGGGCAAAGCAGGTAAGGGAATATGGAGGGCTCCCCTGCTGGACAGCTACTCCCACTGGAGAGATTGAGCTAGGAAGGGGGTAGGCCAGACCAGGCAGGGCTACAACACCCATGGGCCTCATGTGAGCTAGATCAGGGAAAAACCAGGCTGGGTTGATTGTTCCTACTGGTGCAAGCATAAATTGGAGTGGGTGAGGGTTGTTTGGGCTTAGCCGCAGCATCAGATGGCAGAGGCTGGCACTGGGGGCTAATTCTGTCAAGTTAAACTGCAGAACCACCTGGAGAGTGCATAATCTGGGAGTTGGAGTGCCCTAGAAGGGAAATGGTGGGCTTCTCCCTCTTGAGTTACCACTCCCACTAGAGAGCATGAAAACCAGGACAGGGGCAGGGGTGGCTAGACAGAACAGCACCTGCCAGTATGTGTGTGGGCTAGACAGTAGCGCAGATAGGGCTGCACTAGGCTTCAATGCCCATTGACATGCAGGATAGCTAAATGGGATGTGGGACAGACTCAACAAGTCTGCGGTACATACTGGCAAGCATGGGAACCAGCGTAGGGGACAGGTCTGGGAGGGTTAGAAGTTACCCCACTAGGCTGCGGCTCACACTGGTTTGTGTGAGGGCCGAGTATAAAGTGGGCAGGATTAAGCTGGACTGCAACACCCATTGGTTCCAGTGGAAGACATGGCTGGAAACAGAACTGACCCAGCAATTGCAACCACCAGCATGTGCATAAGATGACTGGGGCGATGGACTGTGCTGGACCCTGTTCTGACAAGCACACACAAGAATCAGATCTGGGACCACCTCAGACGAAATTTCTCTGGGGATTCCTCCAACTGAACTGCTGATCTCAGAACCCCAACCATGAAGAGATTATGTCAGCCAGTGGATTCTGAAGAGATTTCATCGTGCTTGGAACGGCAAGACTGGCAGCAATTCAAAACTATTGAACTATCAAAACTGCATGAGCAGGACCCTTGGAGCATGTCTCAAACCAGGGACCTGGGATGGGTGGGAGGCTGGGTGGGTTTTTCCCTTTATCTCTTCCCTTACCCCGGATACAGAAAAAATAAAATATTAACATGGAAATCAAAATAAATAATTAATTAATTAATCAATTAATTTTCAAAAAACAGAGACAACCTTCACTCCAGGAGAGAAACAACTGTCCAAGGAGTTGCTTATTATATTCAAGTACAGGAAGTAGGCAGGTCTAAATGTCACTGTGTTTGTAAAGAAATCTCCCCCTGGAAGAGTCTTCCAAGAGTAGTGTGTTTTCTCTGCCTCTTCCATACGTAAGCCTGCATCAGTAGTGGTGGCCTACAGCTGCCCATTTGCCTCTATGACCAGTTATGAGACGGAGGAGAAAAACAGTACATGGCTCAAGGGAAGACTTTATAAGAAAATTCATCTTGGAGGCAGCTAATATATTACAGTGAGTTAAAGCTGCACCACTTCTGGCCAAGCCCCCACTTAATACACCCAGGACAGCCTAACTCCTAGCGCCCTTGTCACCTATATGGAAGGACCCAGATGTAATGCCTTTTTCCCTAGGCCCTAGCCCAGCAGCAGCTATGTGGCTACTTGAGGAGTAAACCAATGGATGGAAATCTCTCTTTCTCTCTCCTCCTATCTCTTTTAACTCCTTCAAATAACTAATTAACTAAACCTAAAAAAAAACAAAAAAACAAAAAAACAAAAAAAAAAAACACCTCTCATGTGATCAAACTCTAAACCTTATTCTCTCATTACTATCTAAAATAACACAACTGGTCCTCATTACCTGCTGACACTACATTTACAAATTCAGCAACTCATTAAATTTATGCTCTAAAAATTGGTATTCATGAGCATTTTCAGTTAATAACAGACACAGCAAAGTGGTAAAACATCTGGGTCATGCAATACCTACATTCTGCAGCTTGCCTTGCTTCCACTCTCATTCAGAGACGACCAGAGCATGAAACAGGAGGAGACAGTGCAGTGCTGTACAGGCTCCAGGCTCGGGAGCGAGGTGAGAGAATTTGAAAGCTGCAGTACAGCAGCCTCAGCCAAATTCCTTATCATTTCTGACTCTCTCTTCACTTTTGTAAAATAAACAGTATCTACCACAATGAACAGCATCTGAGATTTTTTACCTGTATATACATGTACGAAGAATAGTCCAAGATTTGTTAACAGTGTTCAAGGATACTTTAACAGGATATAAAACACAAAAACAGGAGAATCAACTACATACTCAAATTTTTTAAAAAAGCAAAGAGCAAATTCCATGAAAATAAATATAAGTAATAAGGAAATTGAACAAGAACAGTTCAATTGGTTTATGGAATTAAAGCAATTTTATTTGGGTGAAAACAGTTTGGAACCTATCTACATCCCCTTAAATGTTGCAATTTACTTATGGGACATGCATGTGACCTGTGGCTAAAGCACCACTTGAGAAACTCACATTCAGGTATCAAGAGTGCTGTGTTTAAATTCCACCTCTGCTCCCAACTGCAGCTTCCTGCTAATGCACACATGTGGACGCAATAATAATTGGAGTAACTGAGCTCCTGCCACCCATGTCAGAGTACCGGACTGGGTTCCTGGCTCTTCACTCTGGCTTACCTGGACTGGATTCATGGCTCTTCACTCTGACTTGGCACAGCCCTAAGTTGTTACTAGCATCTGGAGGCTAAACCAGTAGATGGGAGTTCATTCTGTCTGTGCTCTCTTTCTGCTGATTACTTACTTCTTTCTACATAGATCTGAACTGTTACATTTCATTGTTTTTTTATTTATTACATTTGAAATGTATTTGATATGTATAAATAGCAACAATATTCAGTCTTCCTCTTAAAAGTTGGGTGCAGACTAAACCATAACCACTAGAAGGAGCTCTAACATTAAATTTTTTTCAGGGGCACCCAAATAACTTGACAGCATCAAAATTATTGATTTTCCTAACTGGAAACTAGTTTCTCTACACCCTACTGCTAAAAACTAAAATATTTCTATATAAAGTGTTGAAAAACAACCCTCGGTCTAAAAAAAAGGCCTCTGTAACAGGTGATCACTGTTCACCTACAATGGCCAATGCCCAATAGATCAGCACAGCTACAGTAATGTTTTAAGACACAGATGGAGTTTTAAGCTGCACAGTATTTTTAGCTATCTTATGATAAATTACCATGCCCTACACAATATTAGAAGATAAGAAAAAGGGTAAATGTGCAAGCGTTCAAATGCAGATATTGTAATGCAACATATATTAAGCATCTGTACACAGCTGGTATTCAGAAAAGTTTCTTTCTGCTTATTGTTCATTAAATGCATTAAATACTCTGAAAACATTTTCGTCCGTTTTTAAGCAAAAAACAAACAAACCAACAAATAAAAACACACAACATACACATCCACCCTCCAGGCTAGAACTAAAAAAGTAACAAAGAAAACATTTTAAACTGAAGATTAACACTAGAGAAAGGTTTTGTGATTCTGGCATACAACATAAGCATAAAAAATTACAACTAAGGTGATATTAAAGTATCTCAAGTGGCATCTTAAAATGAAATCTTAAGGCAAACTTTCTTTTTTCCCTACTAGCAGGGAAATTTCTATTACTTTAGCTGTATTAATAGTTTGATTGAAATAATTTCACAAATTAATTTACACAATCATGCTCTTTCAGTATTAATAAAAACTTTTTTCACAGCACAAGAATTTACTCCTTCCTAAACAACTGTAACAGGTTCTATGGCAACGCAAGAATAAAAACACTGCTATAACCTTCAAAAATAACTCCCCTCACCTAAAACATCAAAGCATGCATAACATGGAAGTCCCTCCTCCACAAGTGCCACTGCAGAGTGCACACTATCTTGCGGGTCCAAAATGACAAGTACAACATATGGGATCTTAAAGACTTAAGCTTGAGATTATGTGCTATATTACTGGTTATTTTTTTTTACAATCATTATATTAAAATATTATTTTACATGTGTGGACAAATATACGTAATTATTTTCACCACTTTCTCTTTACTGTATAATGTGGCTCCTAGAAAGTCACTCAAAATGCATGCGTAGTGTACACTCAGGACTCATGCCGTCACAGGAAAGACTCCTACCTGAGTAACACGTCCATCTCTTCAGCCTGCAGCACGGCGCCCAGCAGAGGCTGCACGCGGATGGCCTCCCCGGTCCTCACGCCCATGTTCTTCTGCGCCATGTCACTGAGGCCGACCTTGCCGCCAGGAAACCCTGCCACAGGCCAGGCTGTATAGATCTGCCCGGACAGAGGAAACAAACATACACAATACTGCAGCAACTGGAAGCGGAAGTGCACAGCTGAGAGCATGCATCTTTTGCAAAGCACAATCCTTACAGCAACAGTCACAACCTGACACAAGTCACAACAACATTAACAGTATTTTTTTTAAAGGATGAAACACAACGCGTGTACAAAATATATTTTAATAAACATCATGTTCTTTTGAGAATAGGAATGATGGCAGAAGACTTGAAAAGAAAAAAGACACAAGTACTAATATGTGACAAGAAAATGAGAAAAATACTAAAAGTAACCAGGTTGTAATCCTACCTAGAACTTCCAGTACATCCAAGAAGCAGTCACACACTGCAGAAGAGCTTTACCAAAACCTGAATATCATCAAACTGCAACGTTCAAGAGGAAGACCAAGACTTTGTGGCGCAGTGGGTTAAGCCCTTGCTGCCTATGACACAAGCATCCTAACTGGAGCACCTGTATTGAGGCCAGGCTGCTGTGCTTCTAATCTAGTTCACTGTGAAACGAGCCTGGAAAAAGCAACAGAAAATGGTACGAATGCTTGGGCACCTGCCCTGCTGCTGTCACCATTTCTTCAGTGGATCTTTAACTGCTTTCTCCATTTCTCTAATGGTACCTTTCAAATAAACAAACCATAAAAAATAAAGAGCAAATAGTTTGTATTCAAGCTTACAGGTTTACAACTCTCTTGCAAAACAAAAAAGCAAAGTGCCCTGTGAATAGCCTAGTGGCTAAAATTCTCCCCTTGTATCCACTGGGATCCTATATGGGTGCCAGTTTGTAACCCAGCTGTTCCACTTCCCATCCAGCTCCCTGCTTGGGGCCTAGGAAAGCAATCGCGGACGCCCAAAGCCTGCACCCACACAGGAGACCCAGAAGAATCTCCTGGCTCCTGGCTTCAGATCAGCTCAGCTCCAACTGTTGCGGCCACTTTGGGAATGAACCAGCAGATAGAGGATCTTTCTCTCTGTCTCTCCTTCTCTCTGTAAAGCTGCCTTTCCAATAAAAACAAATAAATCTTAAATATTTCAAAAATATAGGACTGACAAGACAGCTCAATTAGCTAGTCCTCTACGTCCAGACACCAGGATCCCATGTGGGCACCAGTTCATGTCCCAGCTGTTCCACTTCCTGTCCAGCTCCCTGCTTGTTGCCCGACAAAGCAGCAGAGGCTGGCCCAAGGCCTTGGCACCCTGCACCCATGTGGGAGACCCAGACGAAGTTCCTGGCTTCAGCTCAGGTCAGCTCTGGCTCTTGTGGCCATTTGGGGAGTGAATTAGTGGATGGAAAAACTCTGTAAACCAATGGATCTCTCTCTTCTCTTTCCTGTCATTCTATCTTTCCTAACAATTACATAGCATATGCATATAGTTTTATGTATTTTACATTTATATCATTATGCAAATTTTTTTAAAGATTTGTTTTTATTATGTTTTTATTGGAAAGGCGGATATACAGAGAGGAGAGACAGAGAGGAAGATCTTCCGTCCGATGATTCACTCCCCAAGTGAGCAAAACGGCCAATGCTATGCCGATCCGAAGCCAGGAGCCTCTTCCGGGTCTCCCACGTGGGTGCAGGGTCCCAAGGTTTTGGGCCGTCCTCGACTGCTTTCCCGGGCCACAGGCAGGGAGCTGGAAAGGAAGCGGGGCTGCTGGGATAGAACCGGCGCCCATATGGGATCCCGGGCGTGCAAGGCGAGGACCTTTAACCACTTTGCCACCACGCCGGGCCCCATTATGCAGAGAGAGAGAGAGAGAGAGAGTGAGTGTGTGTGTGTGTGTGTGTAGTGACCCAGGAAAGGTTCTGGCCTTGAAATCTTCTCAACTATGATGAATGACAACAAGGACCAGATGAAAACAGGGAGAGTGGTTAAGTATTTTTTTATACAAACTGGTGACCTTCTCCTTACAAATAACACTACTGTAGTGAAATGTAACGCACTGGGAGGAACACTAAATCTATGTGTTTCTACCTCCTGTCATTTTAGAGCTAATAATCCAATACAGATACTCAAAGAGAGTCTGTATACATTTGAAATGTCCTTTAAAATACTTATGCATTTATTCCAGCCCATGTTGGAACTAAAATCAGAAACATCACAAAAATGCTTAAGAAAATATAAAGGACTCTTACCTCTTGCTTTCCATCCAAACTGGTAAGCAGCACTGGTCGACCTATGCATATATTTGTAGATTTCATAGTGTTGAGTCCAAGATGAACGAGCGAATTCTGGAATGTTTTAGGAACTTTGGTATCCACTACGAAGAAACAGAAATTATTTTTGTACAATTCTATAACTGAAGTTATAGGTATGCATTTATAGGGTAGGGGGGTAAATAAAAACTTTCAATCCACAAAACCACATGAATACAGTACTCCAACCTTCACTGTAACAAACATTTAAGAGCTGGCAACATGGTGCTGCTCCATTTCTGATCCAGTTCCCTGCGATTGCGTCTGGCAAGCAGAAAACGGCCTCAGTGCTTGGGTCCCTCCTGTACTGATTTTGGTTTGGTTTGAGCCCAGCCCTGTTTGTCTCAACCATATGGGGAGTGAGCTAGCAATGGAAATTCTGTTTGTCCCTCTCTCTGTGACTCTACCTTTTCAAATCACTTTTGGTGGGGGGAGGGGAGAACAGACTTAAAGTTAAACCTTGTGAGGCTTTCCTTTTAGCACAAAATTTATCAAATATGGAATTTAAACTAGTCACACACATTACTATAAAATGTAGTCCAGACACAGATACTGCAGTCAGAGTTCTACCTAACACTGCTATGAATAATCAGAAAAGCATCTCTCGCAATGAAGGAAGAACAATCAGTGGAAGCAAAGTTAAGGAGCATATCTCATTCACACTACTATCTCATACTACAAAATAACTCCAACACTTTTCTCCTACAAAACCAACATACCCCACAGAGCTAACAGTTGTCCAGAGAATAGAATCAAAAAAGCACAGTGCATGACACAAGAAGCTGAACACAAATTCAACCTTCTTATGAGCACACATTTCTCTTACAATAATCAAAAACAGCTAAGAAACTCACTGCAGCAGGACCTAATATTTCATTCCTGCCACTCTCTCCTTTAACCCAGTGAATCCCCTTTCCCTCTGTCCAATGACCTCACAGTAATACTCAGTCCTTCCAAGTCTAGCTTTTCTCTTCCCTCTATTCTGAGCTGCACATGTGCCAAGCCCTAGGATTTCCTAACAATTCACAATTTTCCCTAAACACTTCCACACCTATTAATCGATATTAATCCAAATTCCTACCCACTGACCTCATTTCCCAGTACATCATCAAGTGTTCTCCGTTTATAGCATCTTAACACAAATCCACTCCAGTTCTCCACTCCATGCCTCAGCCCTCCAACATGTTAAAAATGTATTTGAATACCTACTTTACCTATTAACTGTAATGACACTTTACTGAGTACCTTCAGTGAGATTAACTGACAAGATGGTGATGGTAATTCTAAACAACTACCCTTTCATTTATTCATGCAGCAAATATACATAATGCACCTACTAGATGACAGACAACCGGCCAGACTTCTGTTCAGTCCTTCCTCTAGTAGGAGAGATTTATCAAGCAATCTCTGAAAAACTGTGATTACCAACTAATATTAACCCAAAGAAAGAATGAGAAGGGTAGCAGAGCATATGATCAAATCTGGAAAAATCAGAGAGTACATCTGAAAGAAGACAGAAAACAAGTAGGAAATAAGTAGAGGTGGAAAAGAAAAAGGCAAGGCAAGCAAAGACAAGGCAAAGACAAGCAGACTGGTGAGATGCTGGGTGCCACCTAAGCCACGCCTGAGGTGGGAGACAGCTAGGATCCAGAGAAAACAGCATCAGAGAGGATGTTAGAAAAAGCTAGAAAGAAAAAAGTAGTAAAATTACAGCTGTAATAACTTGAAAATGCTAGTTCAGAAAGAGCTCCATGCCTGCCTGCCAGCTTGCAGGAGACAGACGTCAAGCCCCACCAATCTCCACACACCAATGACCAAACCTGGCCAGAGGACATCGAGACAATCTAGTAAACACAGGCTGACAAGGACACTTTGTGAGGAGACCCATTAATGGATGACCAATAACCAAACAGAAGACCCTAATGGGAATCTCTTCAGGAACACCCAAAGGAGTGTTCCAGAACACCTAGCTGAAGTCCAGAGGGATAACTTCCTGATTAGAATAAGGCCACAGTAAATGTACAATGTAAAAACAAAAGTGATAACAGTCCAAAGCAGAAATCACTTAAACGGCTGTTGCAGCATCTCAAAAGAGATGGCGGCTTAGATTAAACCAGGAAGGAACAAAGCAGCTGCTTCCCCGGGGGGGAATCTGAAATGGCGGCAGGACCCGGAAGCCCAGCCTCAAACCAAGGCGCTGCCGCACATTCGCAGCAACTTCGGCAGATTCGCGGCAGATTCGCGGCAGATCTGCGGCAACTTTACGGCAGCAAACTTTACGACCATGAAACTCACAGAGACAAGGCTGAGAACTGTGTCTCCTAGTTACCACACTGCAGACGCCTGGTAAAGAACACGAATATCAAGTGCCTGCAGGAAAACCATCCATCTTCTCCCGGCCCAACATGGAGTCTCTATCCTGGGATTGTCTCTCCAGAGTAAAAGTTGTAAAGATAATACTGGGGGGCCCGGCGCGGTGACTCAGTGGTTAAGGTCCTCGCCTTGCACGCCCGGGATCCCATATGGGCGCCAGTTCTATCCCAGCAGCCCCGCTTCCCATCCAGCTCCCTGCCTGTGGCCCAGGAAAGCAGTCGAGGATGGCCCAAAGCTTTGGGACCCTGCACCCGCGTGGGAGACCCGGAAGAGGCTCCTGGCTTCGGATCGGCATAGCATTGGCCGTTTTGCTCACTTGGGGAGTGAATCATCGGACGGAAGATCTTCCTCTCTGTCTCTCCTCTCTGTATATCCGCCTTTCCAATGAAAAAATAATAAAAATAAATCTTTAAAAAAAAAAAAAGATAATACTGGGGCCCAGCACGATAGCGTAGCAGTTAAAGCCCTCACCTGGAATTCTCCCAGATCCCATAAGAGCACCATATTGGTGCCAGTTCTAGTCCCAGTGGCCCACTTCCCATCCAGCTCCCTGCTTGAGGCCTGGGAAAGCAGTTGAGCACAGCCCAAAGACTTGGGACCCTGCATCTTTTGGGAGACCCGGAACAGCTCCTGGCTTCTGGCTTTAGATTGGCTCAGCCCCAGCTGGTGCGGCCACTTGAGGAGTGAACCATCGCACGGAAAATCTTCCTCTCTGTATATCTACCTTTCCAATAAAAATAAATAAATATTTAAAATTTTAAAAAATAAAGATAACACTGCCAGTGCAAAAGCAGACACAGGCTGGCTGGGGGGGGTCAAGACATTTGTTAATGCTGGGGACTTAGAACCAAGGTCAAGTCGGCCTCCAGGGGAAGCATTCCAGGGAGGGAGCCATCTGAGGCCCACCATCCTGGTCACGATCTCCTTGGCGCACCACACCCCACAAGCCGCCTCCTGGTGGAGCCGCCACCTCGGCTCTATGCTAGTTCACCTCACCTCTGCTGCCAGAGGCACCTGCAGCGGCGCTGGCCTGGAAGCCCCAGGAAGCTGCTGCTGACACCTGGCACGGGGGATTGTTAGACCCTGGCGAGGGGACTCACTGCCACTGTAGGCAGCCTTGCCAAGGCCACCTGCGATGCCGTGTCTCCACGACCCACAGTATGGGATGCTACTCGCCAAGAATCCCTGTCAGCGACCCAGTCTACCTTGCAAGGACCATGTGCAGAGGACCCAAGCCCCAGAGTGGCCACATCACGGGTTTTATGCTAGAAAGAGAAAACTAAGCCTCTTTAAAAAAAAAAAAAGGAATGTGGAAAATATTTAGAACATTCCAGTGATAATTAGGACTCCATCATCTCTCACATTCCGTCACTAAGTCCTCAAACTGGAATAGGTTTAATAAGTATCTAAATTGTGTAATTAACAAACATGCAAAAGAGATGAAGTTTTCTTTGTTGGAAGGCCTTACAAGTTGGTCCAGAGGTACGTGTGAGAAATCAGGGAAGTACTCTAATGTTATTCAAAGCACGTCTGCAAGCCACCTGTCAATGGCGCACGACGCACAGAAAATTGGGATAAATGTTGAGAGGCTTTTATTACAATTTCACAGAGTGATCTTACATATCTGTTGAATCTAACAAAAACGTTTATTTTTGCTTTTTTAAACGTATTTGTCTTTTATTTGGCAAAAGTGCTAATCTGTGATTTAACGTAAAGCTTAAAACAGAATTAAGCTCAGTCAAAAAGATAACTAAACGGAGACTCTGGAACCACACAAACGACAAATACAAATCTGAAAATTAAAAGAAGGTGCAGATAGGGAAACCTTGCCATTATTGGATGAACTTGCAAGATAGAATGTAGACCATGCATGAAAAGTGGTGAAGAGGATGAGCCTGCGAAATTACCTAAAAAGTACCAAAAGAATGGAGAAACCTAGGAAAGCCTGATGACACCCAAGACAAGCAACCTGCTTCTGGAAGGAGATGGCACGTGCGCAAAGCAACGGAGAGCCATCCACTGGCTATGTCAGCAAAGGGGATGGTTCGTGACGCCATAGGTGGAAGACAAAAGCAGGCAGACAACATTTTTAAAAGTCTCGCTGGGAGAAAAAAAAAAAAGACTGGGAGGGGCTGAGATAGAGTGGTGATAGAAGTTTCCTGAAGGAAGCTTTAAATGTCCTTGAATGATTCAAGGACAGAGGACCGGTTGGTGCGCCCAGAGTTGCTGGCTCTGGCCCTGGCCTGGGGGTGAGCGCCTTTGACTTCGCTCCATGGACGGGCCTACTTTTCTAGTAAAATGTAAATCAACGTTTGAAAGGAAACGGTTATTCATCTTACATGAAGCAAAGTGGTTTTGGGTGCAATTAAACAACTCAAGCCAGGGAAAGGGCGCTGGACTGGCGGTTAACAGGGCCCCTCATTCCCACCTGCTAGGAACTTGGGCCCCGGAGGCGGTGCTCAGGGCGGCCATGCTTGGTGTCCCGCCACCCACGAAGCAGCCCGGCTCCTGGCTTCAGCTCGCCACGGAGGGACCTCCCGTGTTTGCACTCCCCGCCTCACAAGTAAAGCACCTCGGAATTTATTTTTCTTTTTTTTTAATTTATGGCGGAGGGTTGGACCTCCAAGGTAGGAAAGAGCCCAAGTGAGTTAGGCCAGAGGAACAGTGAGCGGCCAACTTCTCCAGCGCAAACCAGGGAGCTCCCTTTGGAGGTGCGCCCCGCGCCGGGCACCCCAAGCCCACACCCCGGCGCCCCACATCCCGCACCCGGGCACCCCGCACCTGCGTGCCATGCACCTGGGCGCCCCACATCCCACACCCGGGCGCCCCACACCCCGCACCCCACGCCCCGTGTCTCGTGCTCCACACCCCACTCCCGGCCTCCCCGCACCTGGGCGCCCCACACCCTGCACCTCACACCCCGCACCCCCCACACCCTGCACCTCACACCCCGCACCCCGTCTCTCCCCCTGACGACGCCCCGAGGCCTCCGTCCGCGCTCTCTCCCACAACTCTTTTACCCTTCTCTAGGAAGTTGGTCACCACCAGTAAGCCGGCCGCCACCGCAAGGTCCGAGTCCGGAATAGCACGGGCTCCATGACGAAAGGAGGCCGTGGAGGACGCGGACGAACCGTTCTCCGCGCTGTGGTTCTGCCGCTTTCTGCTCTTTTTGGAAGACATGACCGGGAAGACAGCCGGAGCCCACACACCGCCAAGCCGGCACAACGTGCACGGGCCACGGAGAGAAAAAAACTTCCGGAGCGGAAGGTCAGCGAGGCTCCACCCCCCGCGCCGTATTCCCCTACGTGGAGCGCAGCGAGGGAGTGCTGGGGGGCAGGGGCGGGCTAGGGCGAGAGTGCTCAGACCCCGCGGTTTTTGAACCGACCCGACGAGGTCCTGACTTCCGCAAAAAGCAAGCTTGGGTGTTAAGGCACCGTCCTTTGCCTTGTGAATGACGCCGACGGAATTTTCCTGTATCTCCTTCCGCCTTCTCCAAGCCTAAACCAATAAACATCTGTTGAGTTCAACTAGCAAAGTCCACGGGTGTGAAGGGGTCTCGCTCCTGTCCCGCAGCCCCGGCAAATGTCTGAGCGGGGCTGGCAAGCAGGACCACCCCAGCCCGCAGTCTGCCCGAGCGGCGTGGGTGGCACTCTTCTAGGACTTACGGCGCGGGACTCCTTGCGGAAGCGCCGTGGAGCGCCGAGGAACGCCGTGGAACACGATAGAACGCCGTGGAACGCCGAGCAACGCCGAGGAACGCCGGCGACGCGGGGCCATGGTGCTGCGGTGCGGGAGCGCCTGGCGGGCGGTGCTCGCGCGAGTCCGCCGGCTTCCAGCCCGGCTCCGGGCGGCCTCTGGCGGGCCGGGTGGCCTTGCAGCTCCTTCTGCCGGGGCCCTGGAGCTGCGAGGCGAGCCGGACAGGTTCGGGGGCGTCTCGGTGCGGCTCGGAGCGCGGGACTCCCTGGACGACGCCGCCTTCCAGAGGGACCTGCAGGGCAAGTGCGCCTGGGGTGTGGGGAACCCGGGAACCGCACCGGCCACCCCCTCAAGGGTCAGTTTCTGCACCCCAGTGCGAAGGCCAGAGGGCTAGCTAGGGAGAGGGCACGCGTGACCTCGGCTCATTTGCCTCATTTACGTCCTGGGCCCTTGGCTGGGTGGACTCTCACGGCTGGAGGAGCCCTGATGGTGGACATAGCAGCCCCCGGGTTCTGGTCCACCGCCTAGCCTGTGACTTTGGGAAAGTTCTGTGAGCCACCATTTACCCATCCTCCAAGCCCAGGTACTACTGGGAGCTCTTGGGATGGTGGAGGTGCTTAGTTCAGGTAACAAGAAGTGCCTGGCGTGGTGTCCGCCGTGGATTGGATCTGTGACAGGTGTTCTAACATCATTGTGTACTAGGATTTGCCGAGACTACCTCCTGCCCAGTGCTTTGCGCCACACAGAACTCTGATCTCATGTTGTAATCGCAGCGCCAGGACCACAGAGGTCCCGAGTGGTCCCGTGTTTCAGGCTGGTTACAGACTAGGTCGGGAACTGTTGGGGTTAGAACTGGAGTTTGCTTCCACTCAAAAGGGCAACAGGTTTCCTGATTAACCAGGGCACGTGACAAGTGATTTCAAGCTCCCATACATACCTAAACACAGGAGCCTTATGTTTGAAAATATCCTCTTTTAAGAGTTATGTATTTGAACGGCAAAATTACAGATATTGAAAGGGAGGGATAGTTGTCATCAGCTGGGTCATTTCTCAAGTGACCGCAGGTGCCAGGGCTGAGCCCAGTGAAGCAGGAGCCTCTTTCAGGCTTCAAAGGTCAGTTCAAGGACTCACATACTTAAGCCATGGTGCCTTAGCAGAGAGCTGGATGGGAAGTGGATCCACCCTCACTTGAATTGGTGCCCATATGAGATGCTGGAATCCCAGACAATGGCTTTACTCATTATATACAATGGCACTGGCCCTGGGGGGTGGGGGGGTTGGAATCCTTGAAATATGCAGCAGCCTATTTTCTTCAAAATGCCCCTGAGGATCTCATGGCTTAGCATGAAAGTTGAGCTATGGCATAGTCCCATCACATTAATAGGAAAGTTCAAACAATCTTCACGTTGTCGAGCAGTATGGAAAGTCATCAATTCTGACTGTAACCAAGATTGTTATTTCATAATTTAATCATCCTCATTCCCAAAAGAGTTTTCACACCATCCCCTCTCCTACTGGTGAGTGATTTCTGACAAGTCCCAACAATGTCACTGGTAGAAGGAAGTCAGTCCTCTGGTTTGTGTCCCTTTGTGTGGGTAAACGTAGGTATTTATGGCACGGGCTCATAATTGCCAGGGGCCAAACAGGTGATGGAAGAACCAGCATTAGTGGGCATGGCAAGGCAAAAGGTATGTCAGCTTTTGAAGGTTCTGCCGCTTACTCTGCTAGGCATTAGGCAGGTCGCTGACTGAAAATATTTACTTTTACTCCGTACGTGGCCTACATGAGTAATGCTGGTTCTAATTATTTTACTGGACTTATATGCTCAAAGACAAATTAGATGAATCTAATCAGAAAACTCAAAAGTACTGTACGTATTATATATTAGTGGTTTTTTTTTTTATTAGAAAGGCAGATTTGGAGAGATAGAAAGATCTTCCTTCTGCTGGTTCACTCCTCCAAATGGCTGCAATGTCCAGAGCTGAGCCAATCCGAAGCCATGAGCCAGGAGCTTGTTCCAGGTTTCCCACTCAGGTGCAGGGTCCCAAGGCTTTGGGCCATCCTCCACCACTTTCCCAGGCCACAAACCGGGAGCTGGATGAGAAGTGGAGCAGCCAGGACATGAACTGACAGTTATATGGGATTCTGGCACTTGGAAGAGGAGGATTAAACAATTGAGCCATCACACTGGGACACTATTTTAAGAAGCTTTATAAATATTCATTTGATTCTCAACCTATCTCTGAGCGGTAGAAACTGTTCTTCTGCCATTGTAAAGGTGTGAGACTCAGCAAATACCTAACCTCCTCCAGCCAGCTCGGGTTCTCCTGCTGCTGCACAGTGGGTGTTCCTCTGGTTCCAGAGTGACACAGCTCGTTGAACACCAGTGTCCCTGTGAGAAGAAACTAATCAGAGAGGAAGCCCTGTTGGGAAGGCTTTCTCTGTTCTCAAGTGTATCCCTTGTATATGATATTAACACTGTTAGGGGTGTTTTCACATGAACTTAACTCTCGCAGACTTCTGATTTTGCTCCTGATGACTGTAAAATTAGAGAGATAAACAGGTGATATGTGCAGTTGGCTTCCCATGTCTGCATCAGTGAGGGGAAGCTTTGATTCTGGTCCCTGCTGTGTCGCTGACTACGTGACTTCAGACAAGCCTGTCAGTTAGTAAATGGGCAGCCCTATGACACTGGTTGGAATGTCCACATGACGGGTCAGAGTGCCCGGGGCTGGAATTTAAGCCCTTCCAATTCATGCTGGCTGCAAATGTGTAAACTTGCAGGTAACAAGTAATTGCTCTAGTACTTGCATTCCTGCCACTGACAAGGGACACAGGTTGAGCTCCGGGCTCCTGGCTTCAGCTTGGCCCAGTCCCAGCTGTTGTAGATACTAGGAGTAAACCAGCAGTTGGAAGACCTCACACTCACTCTCATTCTGTCTCTTTCTGCCTTAGAAATGAAAATAAATACAAATTGAGCCCCACTTCATAATATCACCTTAACCAGTATTAAATAAGGGAAGAAAAAATAGATAGTGAAAGAGGTTGGTAATATGCAGCCAGTTAAAATAAATAATATATACATGGTAAGTAATTTTTTTTAGTTCAATGTGGTATAACTGGATTTGAACTATGAGCATGGGAGAAAAAAGACACTTAAGTTTGCTATAGAAAAAAGAAAAGGAATTTAAAAGGTTTAAGGATCACTGCCCCAAATAGCTTGTAAATGGAAGCAGTGCGAAGTGTAAAAATTCCATGTTGGACTTTGAGGAATTTGAACGAGAAACTTCTGGCCATGCCTGCCAGCAGCTGGAAAGCAGAAAGTTTGGTGTTCAGTGATTGCATGGCTGGGCAGGTAGCTGAAGCTGGGGCAGTGGCTATGTTTTCCAGGCAAGCAGATGAAGATGTTTTTGGAAACCTGAGCCTTGTAACTCGATGGAAAAGAACAGGTGAGAGCTCTGTGGGATGTCTCCGGAAGTCAACAACAGCCAGGGCTGGAACAGGCTGAACCCCAGAGCAGGGCAGCAGGAATGCCATGTGGCATATCTCTGTCTGTTTCACCCTCCCTCCCTCTTCACCATTGTGCCTTCAAGTATGTGAAAAAGTACATTTTTTAAAAAAAATTCATCAGACACACATTTAAGAATTTTATGTTTCACTCTGTGTAATTGTGCTTCAGTTTAAAAAAATGCAGACAGAGAAAGCAAAATGATCCTGTAGCCCCCTTGCGAGGGAAGGCATGACAACCAATCCTTAGTGGCTCTAATGAGCTGGCACTGTGTGAGGCACGGGCCCGAGAGGCAGAACATGCAGCCTTCTGCTGGGAGTAGCTTACGGCACAGTTGGGGAAGAGTTTAGGGAAAGGAAACTAACCATTATAGAAGTAATCAAAGCTCCCAAGACAAAAGCAGAGTTATTGTAAAGATTAAGTGATGATGGATAATTATCTAAAAAGTCTAGAACCTAAAAATGCCACATATCCATTTCTTTACCTCTGTATTTCACAGTTGTGAGCACTTAATGAAATGTGTAGAGCGTCTAGACCTTAGTAAGGTGCAGATAAATTTAGGACCTTCTCATCTCATTCTATCTTATATGTTAAGATAACAGAATCTGAAGAAATCAAAAGCAAACAAAACCTATCTTTATGTTCATCTTGGTATTATTTGTAATAAAGAAAAGTCAAAAATAATTTGTCCACAAATAGAAGGCTTGCTTGTAGCATACCAACCAGAGGAAAAAGTGTGCGCTCATTTAATAGGAGTAACAAGCAAACCTTGTATCTCCTGGTTTACTCCTTCAGATAAAGGCAGCAATCCGCTGGGCCAGGACAAGAACCTGGGACTCCTCTGGGTCTGCCACGAGGGTGGCAGGGCCCAGCCACCTGGGGCACTGTCATCGGCTGCCACTGGGGGCTCGCTGGCAGGAAGCTGGATCTGAGGCAGTGCAGGCTGCACTGTACCACAAAGCCAGCCCCGTATGCAGTCCCTTAAAATTCATATTCATTAAAAGAATTTTAAGGATACAGCAGAATATTTTAAATATTTGTAGTGAGAATGTATAAATTACATGTGAATTCCAAAAAGCATGGGAAAGTAACACAATTTTTAATTTTTTCATGCTAGTAAAATATGAAGGCCAATTTCTTCATTATACTTGATTTTCAAAAAATTTTAGAGCCAACATACATTATTTTTAAAAACAATTAAATACATTTTTACCCACTTTTAAATTGATAAACCAGCATTGCCATGTAGCAGGTAAAGCCTGGCCTAGCCCTCGCCAGAGTCAATCAGTGGATGGAAGATCCCTTTCCTTGTCCCTGCTGTGCTCTCTGTAACTCATAATTTAAATTAATCATTAACACAAGAAAAAAAAAGTATAAACCCTCCAAAAACTATAAAACTAAAGGAAGAACAAATATAAATACCTAAGCGTCATTTATAAAGATTAAAACTTAGGATGTATAAAGGAACCACATTAACATGATAATTTGTTCAAGTCTATTTGTCCATTTTAGCACTGTTGAGCACCTGTTGCGTACCATGCATGTCTTATGTGATGTGTTTTTAACGATCGACTCTGGACTCACTGTATTTGCAAGGAATTTTGTTTGCAGGGAAAATCATAGTTATGATAAACCATGGCAGTATTCGTGCTGCTGATGTGAACAGGACATTTTGGAATCCTTCTCCAGAGAGCTAACCAGTGAGGAAAGTCCATGCTTGAATCTGGCTTCCAGAGCCTGGCACAGTGGGTCAGTGGCTGAATCCTCACCTTAAGAGCACAAGGATCCCATATAGATGCGGCTCGTGCCCAGCTATTACAGTTCCCATCCAGCTCCCTGCTTGTGACCTGGGAAAGCAGGGGAGGATGACCCAGTGCCTGGGGACTCTGTACCCACATGGGAGACCCCAAAGAAACTCCTGGCTCCTGGCTTCAGATCAACTCAGCTCCAGGTATTGGCAGCCATGTGGGGAGTGAAACAACAGACTGAATGAAGATCTTTCTCTTTGTTTCTCCTCTCAGTAAATCTTATCTACCTTTCTAACAAAAGGTATATATATATGCATGGTATATATATGTATGGTATATATGTAAGGTATGTATATATTATAATATATATTTAATACTTTTAAAATTTAATATTTATAAATATATGCATATATATTTTGTTTAAAATGGCTGTCTGGATACCCTAACCTGCATTTACCGTTGTTGCACATTGTGGTACAGTGGTTAAGCTCCTACTTAGGACACCTGTAGCCCATGCTGGGAGTTGTTTCAAATCCCAGCAACTCTTGCCTCTGATCAGCATTCCTGCTGGTGTGTCCTGGCATGGAGCAGTTGACGGCTCAAGTGGTTGGGCCCCTGCAACTCACATGGGACTCCCAGATGAAGGTCCAGGCTTTAAGCTGGCCCAGCCTAGCAACTGTGTGCAGTTAGGGTGTGAACCAGGTTGGCAGAACTGGAATGCAATCAACTTCGGGGTTCTTGTTGTTCTTTTAACTGTTCTTCAAATCTAGCAAGCTTACACTGGACTAAGATTCTATCTTTCACTGTCAGTGAATGGAAAATTTCAATCTTTCAGCCATTGCCTCTTAAGCAGATGGAAATCAACATGAAGTTTGTTCCATTCATCTTAGCGGAGATTCCTTACACAGTTTTACCTTCTGCTTTTCAGCAGCGATAAAGCAGTGGCAATCAGAAGGTAGAATCGCCGTGTGGCTGCACGTTCCCATTCTTCAAAGCCGACTTATCACGCCTGCTGCGTCCCTGGGCTTCCACTTCCACCATGCGGAGCATGATTCCGCCACGCTGACTCTCTGGCTGGGGCAAGGTGCCAGCAGACTACCCGGATACGCTACCCATCAAGTGGGAGTTGCAGGTCAGTTCCAAACTCGTAACAGAATTGACACTGTATAGGTTCACTGCGTGGCTTGGTTCTCCCAGCAGAGCAGGTAGTTTACTCTCTGAAATGAGTTAATTTGAAAAAACATCTTGGGAGTAGTTATGCCTTATATATCAGCAGAGGGCAGCACCAAGTATGAGCAAGTTTAGAGGAGTTTTCACATGTGTTTGAATGTGTTTTACACAGATATTTTAACTTTATGACTCAAATGGTGGCACTGAATTGGGACTATTGAATAGATTTGTTCTACTGTAGCATGTTAGTACTAATTATATGGATAGATAATAGCTTTTAGGTTGAATTCAAGGTAAAGCAAAGCATTTTTTAAAGATTTATTTTATTTTATTTTTATTTGCCTTTACTTTTATTGGAAAGGCAGATATACAGAAAGATCCATCTGCTGGTTCACTCCCCAAGTGGCTGCAATGGCTAGAGCTGAACTGATCTGAAGCCAGGAGCCAGGAGCATCCTCCTGTTCTCCCACGTGGGTACAGTTTCCCAATGCGTTGGGCCATCTTCTACTGCTTTCCCAGGCCACAAGCAGGGAGCTGGATGGAAAGTGGGGCAGCTGGGATATGCACCGGCACCTAAATGGGATCCTGGTAGTTGCAAGGCAGGATTTAGCCACTCGCTGGGCCCAAGCAAAGCATTTTTTCAGGGATTTGAATATTACCTGTTAAAGACATTTCAAAGTAACTTATCAGTTCAGATACACAGGAAAGTTGAAAGAGAACTCTCCTTCAGATTAAGACAAGGGTTCTTGCATCACTCCCAGTGCATTAGATCCACCTGGGAGACGTGAGCACAAGCCACTGGACCCCATCCCCAAATTTCTGACCATAGGTTTTGGGGAACGGGGAGCTGAGAGTCTGCCCTTCTAATCATTTCCTCTCACCCTCTTTCTCCCTCCTCTATCCCTCTGTCTTTCTCTGTAACTCTTTCAAATTACTAAATAAATCTTTATTAAAGAAAAAAAGATTTGTTGGGTGATTATCATAGCATAACAGGCTATGCCTCCATCTGTGGCATCAGCATCCCATATGGGCTATGGTTTGTATCCTAGCTGTTCCACTTCTGATCCAGCTCCCTGTTTGTGGCCTGGGAAATCAGTGGAGAATGGCCCAAAGCAAAAAATTTTAAAAATCTTTAACAGAAAAAGATGTTTAATAAGTTTATTGTTACAAGCAACAGGAGGTAGATATGACTAGAGTATAAGGCACTATATATATAAAAAAATTTTTTTGTCTGTTCTCCAGACTTGCTGCATTTGTGTTTGACTTTGATCCTTGCCACCTTCTGGTTCCTCTTCCTGTAGTGCACTTCACTTGATCATCCTTTATCAGAATCTGTACGGCTTGGTCAAGGTTTTCCTCAAATATCTGTTTCTCAGACAAGATCCTGATCCTCCTGTCTGAAGCAGTGTCTTCCTCCATACCATTTCCATCCTTTTGCCCAGAGGTTTATAACACTTACTGTCACATGCACAAGTTATATTCTGTAGTAGTCTGTCCCACATCGGAGGAATTCCAGGAAGGATGCCCTGTCCACCCTATAGCCTGGCATAAAGTAGGTACTGAGTATTTCTCTATTGAATGGTAGGGTAGATCTTCCAGGAGATGGTGGCTCTGAGAGAGCAGGTATGGTGTCACAAAGGGCAGTGTCGCACAGCCAGAAGAGCACTTCCCCAAGGTCCTGACAGTCCCAGGCGCGTCACGCAAGGCTGTGTGGACTCAGGCTTTCATCGGGGTATTCACGGGGGGTTTTGTGATGAACGCCTGATGTTACATACCGGATGCACTCAGCACTGCGCTTAACTAATCCTGCTCATTTGATACTTCACTTCATCCCCCAAGTTCTTGGATATCGCTGCCTTTTATATCATTACCACCAGAGGTCGCTTCAAATATGCTAGCACTGCCAGCTTTGTGCTCAGGTTGGTGACAAATTCTGTAAAGACCAATTTGAGCAGTCACAAAAGTTTAAAATTTTATAGGTTTCCCTGGCATTTATTTGCAGTCTATCACTTTTAGACTCCAGTTAGATTATACTTAGCATTTTCTGAGGGAAGTTACGTTAATGCTAATTTTATCTCACTTTGTGCTTTTCCTTTTTTCTTTAAAATGCTAAGTGTAGTGTATTCATTTCACTTTCATTGCATTTGCTTTTCCATGTATTACACATCCCTATTCTCTCCATCTGTTTTTCTCTAGACACGACACCACATTCAGATGGCCCATGTGATTTGTGTTTTATTTTTCTGCAAACATACATGGCAGAATGTGAGTCCCACAAGAGCAGTGAGCTTTGTTTGTTCTGCTTCCCACAGTATTCACCTAGAAAAGTACCTGACACATGAAAGGAGCCTGAGTAGCAGATAAAGGGTGGGCCCTGGGGCACAGCGGGTAAAGAGCCCACATGCCCTGTCAGAGCCCAGGGAGAATGCCAGCTGCTCCACTGCTGCTCCAGTTGCCCATTAATATGCCTCTTTCTCTGATTCTCCCTCTTTCCCTCTTATTCTCTCCAACCCCCAACTCTGTCACTCTGCCTTTCAAATGAATGAATCTTTTCCCAGAAAAAGACATTAATATACATTATACCAAAAAACCAATTGATATTGAAAAAATAAGGTTTATATAGAAATATCTTGGACTCAGCGCAGTGGCGCAAGTGGTTAAGTCCTCGCCTTGCACGCCCGGGATCCCATATGGGCGCCGGTTCTAATCCCGGCAGCCCCGCTTCCCTTCCAGCTCCCTGCCTGTAGCCCGGGAAAGCAGTTGAGGACGGCCCAAAGCTTTGGGAACCTGCACCCGCGTGGGAGACCTGGAAGAGGCTCCTGGCTTCGGATCGGCATAGTATTGGGCCGTTGCGGCTCACTTGGGGAGTGAATCATCGGACGGAAGATCTTCCTCTCTGTATCTCCTCTCTGTATATCCGCCTTTCCAATAAAAAATAATAAAAATAAATCTTTAAAAAAAAAAAAGAAATATCTTAAGACTTTTTTTCATTGATCTGAAAGAATGATAGAGATGAGGGAGAGACAGATCTTCCATCCACTGGCTCATTCACCAGATGGCCACGATGACAGCTAGGTTAGGCCTGGGAGAAGGCAGTAACCAGGAGCTTCATCTGGATCTCCCACGTGGATGCAGGGATCCAAGTACTTGGGCCCACTGCTTTCTCAGGCACATTAGCAGAGAACCAGATCAGAAGCAGGGTGGCCAGGTCTTCCCATTAGTGCCCATATGGGATTCCAGTGTCACAGGCAGCAGCTTAAGCTGTTTAGCCACCACACCAGTGCCTTAGAAAATATTTTCTTTTAAAAATTTCCATATGAAAAAATAACTACAAATTTAGGTAAATTATACCATTTAAAGAAATCTCATATAAACTATTGAGGTGTTATATTTTTTTTATCCAGAATTATCAAAGGGAAATCAAAAGAGAAAGAGAATGTGCATGATACCTTGTTTTTGAATTCTGACAGCCACAAGAAGTCATAGTTTTTTTTTTTTTTAAGATTTATTTATTTTTTTTGGAAAGGCAGATATACAAAGAGGAAGATCTTCTGTCCAGTGATTCACTCCCCAAGTGACTGCAACTGCTGGTGCTGAGCCAATCTAAAGCCAGGAACCTGGAGCATTTCTGGGTCTCCCACGTGGGTGCAGGTCCCAAGGATTTGGGCCGTCCTCGACTGCTATCCCAGGCCACAAGCAGGGAGCTGGATGAAAAGCAGAGCTGCCGGGACTAGAACCAGTGCCCATATGGATACTGGCATGTGCAAGGCGAGGACTTTAACCACTACGCTATGTGCTGGGCCCAATTCATAGTTTTCTAAGCATTGAATATGAATATATGGAAGATATAGACTAGAGCTTAAAATATAACCAAATAAAGGGGTCTTCTTAAGGAGTCTGTTTCTATGTTGTGTACACATATGACAAGGAGATTTAATGTGCTTAAGAGAGATTTTAAATTGGATTGTGTGATAGCTTGGGATTTGAGTTGTCAGACACAGCCTGTATTCTACACAGTGATGAAAGGAATAAATGCAAGACTAAAGGAGTCAGTTCATTTATTTAATAACTACATTAAAGCATTGCTGTGGTCTGAAGAGTTGTATACCTGCTCCCCCAATTCATGTGTAGAACTCCAGAGATCTGGGGCCTTGCGGTGGCAACTCTGTGAGGTCAGAACTTTCACAGTCAGGACTCGGGAAGTCTGAGGGAGCATGTATGGCTTTTCCAACAGGACACAGCTGAAAGGTGCTGTCAGTGAGGAAGTGGCCCTCACTGGATACCTAGTCCACCAGCACCTTAACACTGTGCTCCCATTTCTAGAACAAGAACTGGAAGCGTGCTGTGTGTAAGTGCCCCAGTCTATGATGTTTTGTCCTACTTCTCAAATGGGTTAAGAAAAGAACTCAGAATTGTCTGAACACTGAAGAAAAAGATTTAAGAGGATAAAAACATTGATTTGTTAAGTGTCTCATCGGGAATAGACCATCTAGGGTCACATTTTATGCAGATGGTTTTCCTATGAGCACAGCTAGAACTGTGACTGGCATTTCATGTTGTGAAACAAATCTCAACAGTGGAGCAATCATGTCCTTGCATTGTAGGGGTTTTACCAGTCCTCATGGATAAAGTCGTAGTTGCAATATACATTCCAGCATGGGAGTTGGATGACCACAGATAAGACTACGGGAGGCATCTTAGAGGGGAATGCAGTTCCAGTTCATAATTCTCAGTTATTTTTTTCCCCAAACAGGAGCTGTTTTTGATGAAAATACCAGAAAAGTACTGGTTGTACAAGATCGGAATAAAGTAAGTTGTTTCTGCTTTATACTTTTCAAATGTTTATAAAGTTCTCTCCAAAGAAAAACAGAATGTACAAATATGGATGTGTTTATGGAATTATAGAAACTTTAAGTCATTTCTAAGGAGTTGTAGAACAGTTAGTTTATTTAGGCTTGGAAAATGTCAAAGTAATACCTTGTGTTGTTCACAATCTATTACTTTATGACTACAGAAAAACTTGACATGACTCTTTAATTGGGAGGACAACTCTGTCTCAAACGCATTGCTAAGATATTCTTCCATTCGAGGCCAGCATTAGGCCATTGTGGGTTAAGCCACAGCCTGAAGCGCTAGCATCCTACATGGGCATCAGTTCAGTCCTGGCTCCTCTTCTGACTTGGCTTTCTGCTGATGCACCTGGAAAGGCAGTGGAAAGCAGCCATGTAATAATAGATGGCAACTATTAACTTTGCCTTAAGAAGCTTAAGAGGTGATATTTAAAACTGTGTCAGAAAGACTGAATAGGAAAAGTCAAAATAAGCTGAGACTGTTAGAATTGCCTCTGTGAAGCACAGAGTTCAGGCAGAGCTGCCATAGTGTAGAAGTGGTCAAACGTGTTGTGGCCAGGGGTACAAGGAATAATAACTGCGAATTAGACTGAGAACACAACAGGAAGAGCTTTGCATACCGAAAGAAAGAATGCAGGCAACTTGAAGCAACAAGTGAAATTTAAAAAAAAAAAAAAACAACTATGCCATTTAGAGATATCTTCATACTCGCGAGTCACAAGTGAAAATGAAAGAGAACGATCATTTTGGTAACTATCTGAGACTTCAGTAATTGTTAGCAGTCAGGGTCAAACATTCCTCCCACCATCGTGTGCTTTCAAAGTTTAAATTAATGTTGGTGTAAATATAGCTGACAGCAGCAGCATCTATTTTTCAGAAATGACATCTAAAAGCATTTTTATGGTTATAAGTAACGTTGAAGGTTTTGGTTAAGACAAGATCTCTGGTCCCAAACTAAGCTTTTTATCCGTTTAAGTTATGGAATACCTGAAGTCATGCTGTGCCTAGCTCTGTCAGTGTTTAAATGCAATTTCCATTTGTAGAGAAACTTCGCAGGATGTGTACATAATTTTCATATTTTGTGTGTGTAACAACAAAAAGCCACAAAATACCTGTTTATTTTTTGGTTATAAAATTCAATTACAAAGTAAAGATACTTTCTTTACAGAAGTGGCTAAAGACAAGAATAGAATCAGAGTCTTATTTAGCTGCTTAAGTTCAGCTATCGCCTTCATAATGCATAAAAACTTCCAGTAGCAGGGCCAGTACTGTGTGGCTCAGCAGGCTAACCCTCTGGCTGCAAGTGCTGGCCTCCCATGTGGATGCCAATTAGTCTCCTAGTTGACCCACTTCTGATTCAGTTGCCTGCTTATGACCTGGGAGGGCAGTGGAGCATGTCCTGAGTTTTGGGAACCCTCACCCACACAGGAGACCTTGAAGAGGCTCCTTGCTCCCCCTGGCTTTGGATCAGCTCAGCTCCAGCAATTGGCAGCCATCTGGGGAGTGAACCAGCAGATGGAAGATCTTTCTGTCTCTCCTGTATCTAAAGCTGCCTTTCTAATAAAAAAATAAAAATTTTATTAAAAACAAAAGAAAAGCATAACACTCACTTGAGCTATATTTTTAAAAACAAAACAATAGTCAAAATGATGTCTACTGAATTTATCTGAACTCCAGCATAAAAATCTCTGAACCTTCATATTTTTCATATTTCTGTGTTAAACATGGTGGCATTTAATATTCTCTAAATTTTGGTCATTTAGTTTCAAATAAATGATTTCTAGTGTTTCCTGGAATGTTTTTAATGGTTTCCAAGGTAGTGAGGAAAGGAAGATTCAAGAAATAAAAACCAAACAAACAAACACTAGAGTGTTCAAAAAGTTCATATAAAATAGATGTTGATGTTGCTGCAGAAACTTTTGAAATCTCTACACAGGTTTTTCACAGTATAAATTTTTTCTGTTATTCAGAACTTCTCATTTTTATGAACCTCAAGAATTACTTCAAACTTTATTTATTTATTTATTTGGAAAGCAGAGTGACAGAGATCTTCCATTCACTGCATCACTCCTCCCAAATGGCCACAATAGCTGGCACTCAACCAGTCCTAAGCCAGAAGTCAAGAAGCCCACCCTGGTCTTCTGCCTGGATGGCAGGGACCCTCCCATTCGAGCCATCATCCCCTCCCTTCCAGGTCCATTAGCAGGCACTGGTCAGAAGCAAACTCTCCCATGAGAGTAGCTAGAGACCCAAATGGCAGTTATAGCTGTTGGGCCACATTTCCTCACAAGGTGGCATGTTTTAGCCATCTAAAGTAACTCAAGATCTAACTATTATTAACCTATAAGGATTTGAATGGAGATTTTTCCAGTTTCCCTTATCTATTGGCTGGGGTCTTTTGAAGATTAACCTTAGAAAGCATCTTCAATGATGTTTTTTTTTCGTGGCTCATAGAACCAACAGTCCTGTCTAAAGAGCCTTAAAACTTGAGTAACGGCGGGTACCAATAGCCTGCAGTGCAGAGGCAGCTCTGGCAAGGCCAGAAAATGTTTACATGAAAAAAAATGTTGCTTTAATAATCCTTATTATCCCATTTTTAAGAAAAACTGAGATTTATAGAGGTTACAGTGTTACTCAACAGCATATACTTAGTAATGAACTTAGTGAAGATTAAAGTTTATTTTCATTAAACCAGAGCAAATTAAAACATAAAATGAATTCATTCCTAGATATAAAGGAGTAAATAATTAGATGACAAAGCCATATATGTTACTGCACCGGATATGAAAGGCTTCACATGAGCAGGGTTTTGCTTTTGGAGTAGTAGTTTTGTCTTTTGTCTCTAACATTTAGTACAAGTGGTGGTTTACTGCTGGGATCAGTTTCCTTCAGTACTAATGATACTAAGTTTCGGGGCCTGAAAAACAGCTGGAAATAAGAACAGAAAGATAAATATATTATGAAATAAAGAAAGGTGATTAAGGGTTAAAGAGGGAGACAGAGTATTCTCACTTCTCAAAACCTAGAGCAATGATCTATATCTACAGTTTCTAGAAGACCTAAATAGGAAACAGAGACTGAATAGGAAACAGAGAAGTCTTTATTAAGAATCCTTTCGGGAGCTGATTTGTGACACAGTGGGTTTTACCACTTGTTGGGACTCTAGCATTCTTTATCAGAATGCCAGTCCGACTCCTGGGTCCTCTGCTTAACCCTGTTCATGCACCCAAGAAAGCAGCAAAATATGGTCTAAGTACCAAAGTCCCTGCCACCCATGAGGGAGATCTAGAGTTTCTAGGGTCTTGACTTCAGTATGATCCCAGCCCAGCCATTGTAGCCATTCAGAAGTGAACCAGTGGGTGGAAAATCTCTCTCTCTCCCACTGTGTCTGTCACTGTGTCTTTGAAATAAATCTTTTTCTTATAGATTTATTTTATTCTTACTACAAAGTCAGATATATAGAGAGGAGGAGAGACAGAGAAGAAGATCTTCCATCTGATGATTCACTCCTCAAGTGAGCGCAATGGCCAGTGCTATCTGATCTGAAGCCAGGAGCCAGGAACTTCTTCCAGGTCTTCTACACGGGTGCAGGGTCCCAAAGCTTTGGGCTGTCCTTGACTGCCTTCCCAGGCCACAGCAGGGATCTGGATGGGAAGTGGGGCTGCTGGGATTAGAACCGGCGCTCATATGGGATTCCGGAGTGTTCAAGGCGAGGACTTTAGCATCTAGGCCATGCCACCGGGCCCCGTCTTTGAAATAAATCTTTAAAAATAGTACATCTTTGGGCCCGGCGCCGTGGCGCAAGTGGTTAAAGGTCCTCGCCTTGCACGCCCGGGATCCCATATGGGCGCCGGTTCTAATCCCGGCAGCCCCGCTTCCCTTCCAGCTCCCTGCCTGTGGCCTGGGAAAGCAGTCGAGGACGGCCCAACGCTTTGGGAACCTGCACCCGTGTGGGAGACCCGGAAGAGGCTCCTGGCTTCGGATCGGCATAGTATCGGCCCGTTGCGCTCACTTGGGGAGTGAATCATCGGACGGAAGATCTTCCTCTCTGTCTCTCCTCTCTGTATATCCGCCTTTCCAATGAAAAAATAATAAAAATAAATCTTTAAAAAAAAAAAATAGTACATCTTTACCTAAAATAATCCTTTTGGTTTGGGTGCCCTGGGGTGGGTTATGTATATATATAGTACATAATTGATTAGCATTGTTGAGCCCTCAAAAAATAAATTTAAAATAATTCCCACAAGGTAGTAACGTCCTGAGAAGTATTAACTAGAGCATGAAAATAAATGTAAGAAAAGCACCAATCAGCTTGTGGATATCAGAGTACAAGGTGCATACTCATAAGTGATTCAGTATGCTGCCTCATATATATTTTAAGATGATTTATATATGTGAAAAGCACAGCAAGAGAGAGAAATCTTCAATCTGCTGGTCACTCCACAGATGCACACAACAGCCAGGGGTGGGCCCAGCCCAGGAGGCAGAAGCTCCATCCAGGTCTCTCCGCAAAGAGGACAGGGACCCAAATACTTGAGCTATCATCCACTGCCTCCCAGGTGTATTAGCAGGAAGCTGGATTGGAAGCAGAGGTGTTAGGACTCTAACTGGCACCCTAATAAGAGATGCGCGTGTCCCACTGCACCACAGCATTCACCAGATGCTGCATTTTATCTTCTTGCATGTCATGAAACATTTGTGAGCAGAGAAGGAAGCCTTCTACTTCCTGGCCGTCCTTTATTTCCCTTTGTTCTTTCTCTTTTCCCTTGTTCTCCTTTATCTCTTTCTTCCTTCTTTCCTTCCTTTGAAAGGCAGAGAGGGATGAGAACACTGCACGACAGTGAGAACAATAAATCTCCCTGTGCTGGGACATTTCCCAAAAAGTCGGCAACAGCTAGGACTGAGCCAGGCCAAAGTTGAGAGCCAGAAACGCAGTCCAAGTCTCCCAAGTGCGTAGCAGGAACTTCAAATATTTGAGTGGCCACAGCTGCCCCCCAGGATATGGACTAGCAGGAGGCTGACACTGAAAGCACAGCGGGGACTCGATGTGGGTATTCCGAATGGCACCGAGCCAGTGTGCCAGACGCCCACCCCGTTCATCTTGATTGACCAGTGTGTCCAGGTTTAGCTTCTCAATATGTGCTATAGGATTCAGAGACTCTAGAGATCAGATACCCACCTGTGTTGGGCAACTTGGGCACTGACTTATCAGTAACAGGAGCTGAATTAGAAACTGCCAGTTTTGTCTGTGACTCATGGCAGAAGTGAACAGTGCTGCTGACACTTCCTAAATGGAAAGGAGCACTATTGCCTTTATTTCTGTTGCCAGAAGTATAACAGCACATAGATGGGCAAGAAAAATAAGGCCTTGGGGGTGTGTCTGTATGTGAAGTATACACACACATATGAACAATCACCTTCAGGTGCTTTCAAATAATCAAAACTAACCAGAATGTAAAAAAGGAATTTACTGAGTGGAATATTTAAAAAGATTTAATATTTTATTTATTTGAAAGGCAGAACTACAAAAAGAGACAGATAATCTTCCATCCACTGGTTGACTTCCCCAAATGGCTGAATTGGCTAAGGCTGAGCCAAGCCAAAACTAGGATCCTGGAGATTCTTCTGGGTCTCCCCAAGCACTTGAGTCAACTTCCGATGTTTTCCTAGGCGTATCAGCACAGAGTTAAGTTGGAATGGGAGCAGATTGGGTGAACTGGCACTCACATGGGACGTCAGTGTTGCTGGCAGAGGCCAAATCTTCTATTCACACTGCTGCACTCTGAGTAAAATATTTTAATAAAAATTTAGAAGCTTTACAGGAATATTTTATCCAGAATGCAAATTCTGATTGGATTTTTATAGGACATTCCAGTTAGATTTGAGGAAAAGATGAAAAGGCTTATGAAAAAGCATGGTGGCAAGAATCAGTACAAGAATATCAACTTGTCATATTTCCTTAACGATGGCTATTTTATCTGAGTGTATCACACACTAGCTTTGAGACCTAAAGCAAGTTACCATCTGTGTGCCATCCATTTCATCACCTTCACAATGGGAACAGTAGCTGCTTATGGGATTGCTGTTCAGTTTAGATGTGCGCAATTTTGCTGGGGCCTGAAATGTAGTAGGCATTCAACATATTTTATGTATATTTTAATATTGTTCATATATTGCTATCCCAGTTAATGGGATATATTTATTTTTATTACAAAGTCAGATATACAGAGAGGAGAGATAGAAAGGAAGATCTTCCGTCCAATGATTCACTCCCCAAGTGACCGCAACGGCTGGTGCTGTGCCGATCCAAGGCCAGGAGCCAGGAACCTCCTCCAGGTCTCCCACGCAGGTGCAGTATCCCAAGGCTTTGGGCCGTCCTTGACTGCTTTCCCAGGCCACAAGCAGGGATCTGGATGGGAAGTGGAGCTGCTGGGGTTAGAACTGGGCGTCTAATCCTAATGGGATCCTGGGTGTTCAAGGTGAGGACTTTAGCAGTGGCCTGCCTGGTCCAATTGGAGTAGTTTTTAAAAACAAACAGGGGCCCGGCGCGGTGGCACAGTGGTTAAGGTCCTCGCCTTGCACGCCTGGGATCCCATATGGGTGCCGGTTCTATCCCAGCAGCCCCACTTCCCTTCCAGCTCCCTGCCTGTGGCCCGGGAAAGCAGTCAAGGACGGCCCAAAGCTTTGGGACCCTGCACTGCACGGGAGACCTGGAAGAGGCTCCTGGCTTCGGACCGGCAGGGTATCGGCCGTTGCGCTCACTTGAGGAGTGAATCATCGGACGGAAGATCTTCCTGTCTGTCTCTCCTCTCTGTATATCCGCCTTTCCAATAGAAAAATAATAAAAATAAATCTTAAAAACAAACAGGAAATTGAGGCCTCTTAACATTTAAAACTCAACCTCCAACTAAATAGGGGATGAGGAAGTGTTTACAAAATCAGCTCTTTAAACATGTGTGGTACCAGAAAACATCACAGACTACTTCCCAGTATAGAAATATACCAAATCTTTCCAGATCTGAGCTTTGCTTTAAAAAGTATAAAATTTATGTGAGCTCTTCAATGTTTATATCTTAACATTTTCTCCTTCCTATTAAGTTCTTACATACCAATATAACCAGTAATATCCAGTCATTTAAAATAAAGTCTAGATAAAGGTTTTAAAGTTGCTTTTTACTGTTTTTAGGAAGTCTGCATGCCCTATTGTATTTCTTTTGTCACATATAATTTATGGTATGGCATTCAACATTTTACTATGTAAAAAGACAGCATAGTTTCTGCAGGAGCAAAGCCTCTGGAACACTTTCACTATGGAACTCAATAGACAATGAATGTATTGCAGTAGAGATATATTTCTATGTTAACAAAAGCATAAATAATGTGCACTATAAATTAATGTCCAGCCTGAACCAGGCATAGAAGGGTGGAAAACCTGAACATCGTACCCACATAATGAACAGTCTGTGGAAATTCTGGGAACCAGGCCACTGGTTTCCAGTCTAATGTCGTTGAGAAGTGACACATTCTTCAAGAAGGTCTCATCCAAGAAATGAGTGGGTGACAAAGCACACCAGTAGAAGGTCCACAAACTTGTTTTATGAATGAAGAGTATAAGGTGTACTGGCTAATGGTTTATCTCCCTTGTTATCATTTCCCAGACATCCTGCAGTTTGGGTCGTAATGATGGACATACACCTGACAAAACTTTGACAGCAGAAATAATCCCGTCAAGCAGAATACCACCATCTACTGTCTCACATATTCCCAAAATAATCTGCTTCCCTCAGCTTACCCCTATTGCAATCACATCTTCCCATGTGCATCTTTGCACCAAGAAAAAAGTTGAAAAAACACAAATGAGACAAGAAAATACAAAGTATCCAATTTTATTAACATATAAACACATAGAACAGAAATCTTCAGAGTATTATATCTGATTAGAAACAATACAGAAAATAGATGTAAAATTTAAAACAGCATATTTTGGTGGTTACATTTATACTACTTTCTACTTTATAGCAGCATCTGTAAGATTATATTGATTTGGTCATAGTTAACTAGCAGCAATTTTTTTTAATTGTATAAATTCAGTAGATACTTCCATCAAGGCTTGACTTATACAGATTTTATCACATTAATAAAACAGAACTATTTTTACTTCCAAAAGAAAAAGATGGGAAAAGATTTCATCAGTCACTAACTTCCTCCAAAAAAGAAAAAAAATCAGGGAAGGAAGCTGGAAAAAACACGCATGCAATAATCCAATCCTAACTTCGGTAATACCATGGCCCATTACGCGTGGGTTTTGTGGAATCTGTGTGTATGTTAGTGAATAACTGTTGTGTTAACCTTCTGATTTTCTACTACAGTTAAAGAACATGTGGAAGTTTCCAGGAGGCCTGTCAGAGCCAGGAGAAGATATTGGTACGTATCTTACGTATTTTTAAGTAGCTTTAAAATATGGAGGAATTACATGTTTACTTTCCTGCTTCATAACTAGGAATTCAAATTTTTTAACTTGTTCAGATTAACACAATTTCTAAGAGGTTGTTTCAGGGCTGATGTAAAATTAGTAGCAAAACATCTAACTTTACAATTTATTTCATTAGCATAAATAAAACCATTAGAAACACATGGCCTCTTCTGGTTAGATCTACTTCTACATTAATTTGTAAGATAAAGAGAAGCTTTAGTTATTAATTATAAACGTTAGCATTAATAATTATGATCAAAATTGTTGTTGGAATTAAACTATGAGAAACACAAACTCCTAACCATTCTATTACAGAAGAATGAAAAATAAGTATCAGATGAACTTAAAAATAAGTAAAATAGAGTCAGCAATGATAACATTCTTCTCTAAAAGAAAATTATATCTAATAATTATTTTGAACATTCAGGAAGTCAAAACATAGTGAAATATCATATGAGAAAGTCTCAAACCCTAAGACAACATACTAATGTCAACATTTAAGATAAAGACGTGTAAAGTAAGCCAAGAACTCTTCACATCTCTGACTTATAGGAAATACTAGATGCAAAACTGAGTTTTCTTACCAATTCTTTAAGCCAGTGGGTCAAACTCAATTTCCTTCCTAAAAAATTAATAGATGATGTGATACCAATATTATGATCCATGACCGTAACTTCAAAATGTATGTACCTTATTGTATTTCACCCATGATTAAATTAAGGCAGTTTCTTAAGTTCTTTTTCAACATTTCATTTTAAAATGCAAATATACTTTAAACTTGGCTTTTGAAATACTGCACATATAAAATGCCCTCTCTATATCACATAGCCAACTCTAACAATGCTAACAATCCATGACTGATTACAATAATTAAATTGATCATGTTAAGTTATACTTTTAGCAGATCCTGGTTTCAGCTTTTTGCATAGATCCCAGAACCACCAACTGTATCACACTAACCACAATTTATTTGTGAACTCACAGAAACTAGTTAGGTTAGGTTTGGCATTCTGGCCCAACTCATGTTGGGCAAAAGGCAGTAGCAAGAGATTTGTGTAGTGTCTTCTCCTGCACCATGCCTCCTCAGATAGATGTTGTTACCAAATATCAAATATTCTTGTAGTAGATGTAAATGAACACATGGGTATAATTCTAGATTGAAATATATACTCCAGAACATTTCTTAGCCCAGACAGAGACAAAATTCTTTGTTCAGTTTCTGTGGTTGTCACAGTGATTCACCTATGCAGAGATCACATATATGCCCCTCAAGTGGAGTAACAGAACGGGGCAGCACGTGGCATTCCCTGTGTTTACAAGGTGAAGTGTGAGTGAAGACTGCCTTAGAATTGGCAGAGCAGCTGAAAATGGTAACTGCTACAAGTCTGAAAGGCTGTGGTGACAGATGGGCATTTCCATAATGTAACTCTATACAAGATAATAGATATGCTTCACGATGAAGTCAAATCACCCAGACAGTACATTGTTTTCTTTAAACCGGATATTTGGGACAGCATTAGTATATCTGAGGACTACTGTCTTCTCAAATAGTTCATATGGCTCTTGGCACTCGTGTCCCAAAAACTAAGCACTGAGAATGGAACTTATTAGGGACCCTTCATTTTTTTTATAACATGGGTAGATGAAACATTATCTGTAGTGTTTAAAAAATGATAAGCAAATCACACACAAAACAGAATGCAATCCTGAAGGCTGAAGGACAGACTGCCTTCTAAAAAAGAAAAGGAGGGAGGGAGGGAAGAAGGGAGAGAGAGAGCGTGAGAGAGAGAGAAAGGAAGGAAGGGAGGGAGAAAAGAGAGAGAGAGAGGGAGGGACAGACAGGAAGGAAGGAAGGAAGGCATAAAGGAAGAGACCACCTCATCACCACTACAGGAAGAGTGTCCTGCAGGGCAGCCTGGCAATGCTTTAGGGTCAGAGGGGAACACCAAGAAAACCCACACTCTGTAAAACATTTCCCATTGTTTTCTTTCAGCCTAATCTTGTCATTACATAGTACAAGATAGAAGTCACATAAACTCCACTTCATTATTGTCCTATAACAAAAGTGTGGCCTACTGTAAGCATATCCCTTCATCACCAAAAGCTGAAACCTTTTTGTTCTTCCTATATGCTACAAATAGTATAAAACAGTAAATATTATCTTAGTTAAAGTATAATAGAAAAACATTTTATCTGGAGTTTTAAATGTAAATTGATATTGAAATCCTTGGGAATGAAGTTTCTTCTGGAGGTGGAAGGGTGGTCCTTTGTCTAATCGATCTTCAGTCTACTCAATCATGTTCAAGTTAAGCAGATCAGAACTCTGCAGGTGGTGCTGATTCTGTATCTGCTATTAGGGATGTGAACTGTTGATCAGAGAAGCTCAGCTCACAGGGCCCTGTCCCAGGCTTCAAGAACATACAGACTCATAAACAAAATGCTGAACTATTGATTAGTGGTACTGAGGGCAAAATAAGGCTACCTCCCACTCTCAGTAATTTCTAAAGCATAGAATTAAACATTTAAACAGCAGTTAAATTATATCACAGGAAATTTTGAAACAGTCCTTGTTTAATATAAAATGGGTATTAGATAAAAATTATTTTATTAAGCAAGTTTTCTCTTAACCTAAATTCTTTTATGCTTTCAGTTTAAAAATATGATTCCTAATCATTTTAAACTTAAGGGTAAATCTTACGTATAACAGAAGTGTGTATTAAGAATGGCAGACAAATGTCTAATATTTAGAACACTTCACTTCTCCTATCCATCTTTCCAAAACTGTTTCCTAGACACAGAAACAAGGGGCCTGGTATAGAAGTCTGCAGTCAGAACACAAAGGCATTGAGACATTTTTCTGTGCTTTCCCCTTCCTTGTCTGTTCCTCATCAGTAGGATTACTGAGAAGGCAAAACCCTTTGGTATTTGGCAAATGAGAACACTGGAAGCATTAAAGAATATGACATGACAGAGCAACAGTGACGTTTCCCCAGCAGAGTGGTCAAAGAAGGCAACTTTAGGGGCTTCCCCAAAATGCAGAGCCTTAAAAAAAAATCCAAGCAATTCCATTTAGTGGGCCCATGTGCATGTTTTAAAAAATTAACCACATGGCAATAAAAGTCTTGCAACAGAAATCTGCACTTAACTGAAAAGTCAACCATATAAAATATGAAAACCTTTGTTGTGTTAGAAAATTCTATTTATTCCCACTTTAAAAACTACAGCTGACATGACTGCAGCATTTTGGTGTTGAAGTAATATATCTGGATAATCTGTACCTTACCTCAAGGATCAAAGGAAATCCCCCTTAAGGGCTCTGCGGTCTGGCCTGGAGGCTGCCCACCGAGCATGCCAGTAGAGCTTAGGGTATAGCGCAGGCTGCAGCTCACCAACAAGAGGGCACTCCACATGTACATGGAAAATGGAATTAAAACATAAGCTTATTCAGGAGAAAGTTATTGTTGTTGTTGTTGTTGTTTTTTTGAGAATCCGTGCAGATTTTTTTTTTTGGTCATAACATGCTGCATTAAATTTTTTTTTTAAAAGGAGACAATGTTTTTATACATTTTAAAGGTTATATATCTACAAGGCAAAAAGAGAAGACGGAGAACCCATCCACCAGTTCACTTCCCAAATGCCTCAAAAGTCTGGGCTGGACTACGCCAAAGATGGGAGCTCCTCCCTGGGTGCAGGAACCCACCCAGCTCCTTGCTCCACCATCACCTGCTCTCTGCCCAGGTGTGCACCTGCAGGAAGCTGGGCTAGAAAGCTGAGATTAGACCCACACACAGGCATTCCGGCATGTGAGGCAGGCCCCCAAAGAGGCACTGAAACTGCTACACCAAGCACAGCCCTGGTTAACCTGATCCCTCGTATACATTAATTTCAAAATTTTAAACATCTTAATTCCATTTTCCACAGATTGTTGCAGCATTTCATATATAGGCTGAATAGTTTTTTTTTTCCTCAAAGCTGTTATTTATCAATTTAGTCAATTCTAAAATATGATAAAGTATAGGATAATAATCAGGAAATATATAAGAACATGAGTATTCATTGCAGCTTTGCAACATAACATCTGCAAGCTATGTTTTTACCTTTTAGGAGATACGATCAGAGAGGTTAAAAAGCTATGACTCTCCCCCACCCCCACAAACATACTGATTGAATGAGCCTCCGAGTCGCAGCTGGAGAAGCAGCCATTCTTCCAGAAGCTTCTGAAACGTAGGATGGCAAGAACATACCCTGGTATTTCAGGACATCCAAAAGGCAGAGTTTGTGTTGAAAACTCTTGCAGTCAGGTTTGCTTCAGAGCCTTTAGATTGCCCTCTCCTCACTGGACATCTTCAATAAGGATGTTTTTAAAAATGTGCTCCTTGCTGATCTGTGCATCTGTCTTTCACATAGGGGACACAGCAGTCCGAGAAGTTTTTGAAGAGACTGGTATAAACTCAGAATTCCAGTCCCTCTTGAGTGTCCGGCAGCAGCACGCCAGTCCGGGAGCCTTTGGAAAGTCAGATATGTATATAGTCTGCCGCCTGAAGCCATCCTCATTCACCATCAACTGTTGCCAGGATGAGTGCTTAAGGTGTGAATGGATGGACCTCAGTGAGCTGGTCAGGACTGAAAATACAACTCCCATCACCCGCAGAGTTGCGAGGCTGCTGCTCTACGGCTACAGAGAAGGGTTTGACAAGATTGATCTGACCATGGAAAAGCTGCCAGCGGTTCACACGGGCCTATTCTACAAGCTGTATCACAAGGAACTGCCAGAGAGTTACAAACATATGACAGGGATGGATTAAACTCACATCTACATGTTTTTCTTTAAATTGTACATGCAGATAAGTGCATGGTATAAGACATAATGGACCTTTGGGATTAAATACAATTCTAATTTTCTAATGTGATTTCCATGAAGAAAACTTGTAAATGTGCATATTTTAAAAGCTTTTCAAATAAAGCAAAATATGTGAAAAAGTGTGTAGCTCTGGGTAACCTTTACTGAATAACAGAAGTTGTTATATAAAAGGTGTACATTCTCCAAGGATTTTTTTTCTTTGCTGAAGCAAAAGGGCTTAACATTTTACTATTGGGGTAAAAAGTTGTCTAACTATTTAATGAAACAGGCCTGTATATATTTTTCCTCTCGTTAACAAATTTATGTATTCTTCCTTCATGTGAAATGAGATTAGATGCTGTCATTAAAATCAGCTCTTAGCAGACATTGGAAGAAAAAGTATAGCCTTCTGCCCAGGTCCTGTTTTCGATCCAAGTTTGTACTGCCCAGTTCGTTTCAGTGCCACATACCAGCTGGAGTATTTCCTTGAGCGGTAAGTATTGTAGTTATTAGCCTCCAATCGTTCAAAAAAGAAACACTCGTCTGTAACACATTTCTGAAAAATGAAGGAAGAATTGTTAGTGTATTTTTCATATTCAGCACTTAGGACAGCACAACACCTGCCTGGCTCAACCAGCAGCAGTGGACTTGGGTTCAACAGGACAGTCAGACAACACTCAATAGGCCAAATATGATGCTGAGTCGCCCTGCGGAAAACTGCAGGCCTGCAACCCAGCACATCAGCATCACAGCATCGCACATGTCCCTCCCTCTGCTTCTAGAAAAATGAATGTTCCATACTGCTAACTGAAGTGGTAAAGTATAAATCTGTTGTTGCACATGAATCATAGATACACTTACAGAAAAAAAGCATTCCAGAGGGTATTAACTATGATATACAGGAATATCTTTGCTTGCTCATGAAGATTCATATGCTGAATACTTAAAGTAACATATTGCAAATCCAGTGCTTTCTCTACCTTTGGTGAAATTTATCACTCTTTGCTAGGGTTTAGACATGCAGCTTAAGTGTACCCCTCCAAGAGTTCATGTCTTCAAAGTTTGGTCCCTTGTGTGATAAAGAAGTGGGGAAAATCGTTAGGTCATTTTGAGTATAGTCCATGGAAAAAATTAAAACAATTCTGGTTAATTCTCTTGAGAACGTTGTAAAGAACAGCACTGTCCTCTCCTAGCTTCCTGTTTTACCACTTGGTCGGTCACGCTCTCTCTCATACATCCTCCCATCATAGTACCATCTGCCATAACATTACGTGGCCAAGGGTGCTCTCACCAGAGGCCCAATCTATGCAGCCACCTGATCTTGGACTTGCAGCTTCCAAACACTGAGTCGAATAAGCCTCTTTTTTTCCCCCAAAGTACTCAGTCTCATGTGTTTTGTTACAGCAACATAAAATGGACCAAAGTACTCTTCCTATAGGAACTCCAGTTAATCCGTGTTGCTTTATTTACCTTGCCACTTTCGGTGCCACTGAGAAAAAAAAAAAAACACTGCTTCTTTTCCTGTCTCAGGCCCACGGTTGGGAACACAAATGGAGAGGAAATAGACAAGGTGTAGCATTCACGCAGATGCTGGGGAAAGCAGACACTGCATTTTACAAGCTGACTCCCCAGGAGCATGCTCCTTTCTGGGAGTTCTCTCAGCTTCCAGGATGCCCCACCTTGCTAAGTTGGCACTCTCCACAAATGTCTGGCCTAATGGGACACTTCCCATGCCAATATTGTTCACCTTTCCAGCCAGTTCCTAATATTTAAGAAAAACGAAGTTATACCAGGCACTAAGAGAATACATCATGGAACCCACAAACTTTTTCCTTTTACAAAAAATTACTTGTAACTCAAAACAGTGGAAGGAAACCTTAGGTCTGTGTTGAATCTTCAGCCACATCAATTTACTAAGACACCTTCTTTCCCCTGCATTTTTTTTTTTTTTTTGAGTAATTGGGCCAACATTCAGTTCTCAAGAAAAACATTTAACAGCCCATTGTAAATAAAATGTCCAGTTCTCCCCATTCTGAGCTCACAAATCATCTTCAGTGTCTATGATCTCAGTGTTCCTATTCAAGTTGGTGCAATATAATTTTTATTAACCTGTATAGGTACATGTACAAAACTCTTTCCCTATTCTCAGTGTTTACTCAGAGCCTTCAGAGGAAGTGAATTAAGTGGCTTTTAAGCACTCAAGGCAACTTGTACCTTGCTTGTAAAGCCTGAATTTATACAGGCCAAAGAGCTAGGAAACCCATGAATTCACAGTAATTGACTGCTTTCACACACAGTTCACTTAAATTCACATTGTTTTAACACAAGTATTGTACTCAATAACAAATGGACATTTAAGCATCACAATTCTCAGGACATTTCAGAATGTGGATCCCCCCCTTCCTCACTTGATACAATCTTACGTTTTCCTTCATTTTATTGACAGAAAGCTCAGTTTAAAAAATGCATTTGGGGCCCGGCAGCATGGCCTAGTGGCTAAGATCCTCACCTTGAATGAGCCAGAATCCCAGACGGTCACCGGTTCTTATCCTGGCAGCTCCACTTCCTCTCTATCTCTACTCCTCTCTGTATATCTGACTTTGCAATAAAAATAAAATAAATCTTAAAAAAAATGCATTTGTTCATTCGAGGTATTTTCTTCTCCAGATAACCCAGAACACACTAGTGGACAAAACTAGATAAAGATCCCTGCCTCTATACTTGTATTCTAGCTGGGGAAGAATCAATATGCAATAAATCACATTCTATGCTAAACATGAGAGGGAAAAAAATTAGAGCAATGGCTCAATTGGCTCATCCACCCTTGCAAGCATCAGGATCCTATATTGACACTGGTTCATGTCCTGGCGGCTCCACTTCCCATCCAGCTCCCTGCTTGTGGCCTGGGAAAGCAGTGGAGGATGGCACAAAGCCTTGGGACTCTGCACTCACATGGGAGACCTGGAAGAAGCTCCTGGTTCCTGGCTTCAGATTGGCTCAGCTCCAGCTGTTGCCACCATATGAAGAGTAAACCAGTGTATGGAAGATCTTTCTCTGTCTCTCCTTCATTTTGTAAATCTACCTTTCTAAATATAAGTAAACAAACAAATAAATAAAATATATTATGAGAGGGGTTGTATGGGTACCAGTTTATGTCCCAGCTGCTCCACTTGTAATCCAGCTCCTTGCTTATAGCCTGGGAAAGCAGAGGAGGATGGCCCCTGAACCCACATGGGAGACCCAGGGAAGCTCCTGAGTCCTGGCTTTGGGGTCAGCTCAGCTCTAACCAAAATCAGTCTCTCTCTCTTTCTCTCTGTCTCTCCTCTCTGTAAATCTGCCTTTGAAATATATATATTTATATATTTGAAATATGTGTGTGTGTGTATGGTTGCAACAGCTGGAGCTGAGCCAATCTGAAGCCAGGAACCAGGAGCTCCTTGCAAGTCTCCCATATGGATGTATACACACACACACACACACACACACACAAATCCTGCAGAGAAAGTGCTAGAAAGGAGACACAGTAGGCCTGGCGCGGTGGCCTAGTGGCTAAAGTCCTCGCCTTGAACGTGCTGGGATCCCATATGGGCGCTGGTTCTAATCCCAGCAGCTCCACTTCCCATCCAACTCCACTTCCCATCCAACTCCCTGCTTGTGGCCTGGGAAAGCAGTGGAGGACGGCCCAAAGCCTTGGGACGCTGCACCCGCATGGGAGACCTGGAGAAGGTTCCTGGTTCCCGGCCTTGGATCGGCGCAGCACTGGCTGTTGCTGTCACTTGGGGAGTGAATCATTGGACAGAGGATCTTCCTTTCTATCTTTCCTCCTCTCTGTATATCTACTTTGTAATAAAAATAAATAGATCTTAAAAAAAAAAAAAAGAAAGGACACAGTAATAGGTCACAGGTGAGGTTGCAGTGTTAACCAGCTTGGCCATAGCAGGCTCCATTAAGCAACTGATGCTGGAAGACTTCAAGAGGTGAAGGACTAACCAACTAACCATGCAGAGTAGCAGGGAAGAGTGTACCAGGATCCCATCTGGAGTGTCTAGAGGTAACAAGTCAGTGTGCATGATGCAGAGGACCACCATGGGAAAATAAGAAATGGAGTCACAGGGACAACATGATGGAATCGGGGACAGACTCCCTGCAGCTGTGCAGGCAGCTGGAGACATTCGGGCTCGTCCTGAGAAGACGGAGAGGCACTGCAGGCTTCTGAGTAGCAAAGCCAGACAACCCAGCACAGATTTCCAGGATGACCCTGGTTGCCAAGATGACAGAGGACCAAAGCAGACGCAAAAACAACAGTTCCAGGCTTGCTCTGAGGCAGTGGGCATGAAAGTTCAGATCACAGTGGTGGCCATGGAGATGTAAGAAGCTGTCCGCTTCTGGGGACTCCAAAGGTAAAACCAACAGGATTTCCTGACAAACTGGATGGCTTGTATGTGAGAAACAGGGATCAAGGGTAGTCCTGAAGTTCATGATCTAGAAGGACCTGCCCAGCTTCCACTGAAATGCATGTTGTTGGCTATACGTAGAAACAGAATTTACAGGGAAAGACTGGAAATTCTGTCTTGCACGTGCTGAGTTTGAGAGGAATACTTCTTGAGCACCAAATAAGGCACATAAATGACACTTTACCTTCTTTATCCCTTGCAAATAAAAGAGTCTGGAAGTTGGAAAGTGCCAATTTATTTGAAATTTTTGGAAAATGCATTATGCACAACGATAAGCACACTGTTCTCAATTCTAACAGGTATGCAACATAATAAAGGACTAAGGATGCGCAAGAGTACCAGAAAAAGTTGTGGGGAAATGGAATTAAAAGGTAAGTTGATTTTAGTGCAAAAATTTAAAATCCATTCATATGAGATGACTTCGCTCATGGAAAATGCATCTTAATAAATGCTACGCATCTATTTAAGACATATTTACACCAGAATAAAACTTAGCTTTCAATTCAACTTTCCTTAAACCTTGCGAAATATCCTTACTCCTATAAGAATAAATGTGTGAGTGTGTATCTGGGGCTAGCATTGTGATGTAGCAAGTTAAGCCACCACCTATGACACTAGCATCCCTTATGGTTGCTACTTCAAGTCCTGGCAGCTCCATTTCTGATTCAGTTCCTTACTAATGGCCTAGGGTAAACGGTGAAGGGTGGCCCAAGTGTTTGGCCCAATCCCAACTGCTATGGCCATTTGGGAAGTGAACCTGTGTACAGAAGATCTCTCTCTCTCTCCCTCTCTGGGTAATTGTGATTTTCAAATAAATAAATCAATCTTCTTTTATTTTAAGTGATAAAAATCCACCACGTTTTCATGAAGGGACAACACTCAGGGGCTAGCGTGGGACCTAGAGGCTCACACAGGAAGCCAGACGGGATGAAAAATGACTATAACGTGGGATTTCCAGCATCTCAGGTGATGGCTTTATCCACCGTGCCATCTGCGCATGCACCTGGGAAGGCAGCTGAAAATGGCCCAAGCGCCTGGGCTCCTGCCACCCACGCTGGAGACCCGGATGGAGTTCTGGGATCCTGCTTGGCCCAGACTTGGC